TATCGTTGTAACTCTATAAGTGTGTTGAAAGTTACTCTGTCGTTATAATTATATGTGTAAAACCTTATTGTATATTTTGGAAAAATTCCGAATACTACATGCATATCATTACGCTTACTGGTTAATGTGAAAATGAGTTTGTTTGTTTGTGTCTTAACATCTTAACAGTTAAAACCAATCGTAATATAATCGAACAACAACATAGGCTACTTTATTCAGGTCATTCAATATATCCCAGTCATACAGGCAAAGTCTCAAGTAAAAGGTAGTATTATATAAAATTGCCTAACATTAAAATCTTCCATTAAAATTATCTAACATAAGTTATTGCTTAGTTTACGTTACAAGTCCTCCATCAAGCAATATTTTAATTACCTGATTACAACCTGCTATTGACCATTTAACGCGTTGAGATATGACTCATTTGATCTGAAGGGCCGATTCGAATAAAATTCCACAATTCGCATGTTATATAAAGGATTACAGCGGCCATTGAGAAGACTACCAGACCAGTAATACCGGTCCTGACAAAGGGCTACACTGTCTGGCGATCGACCGTGACACACATCGATACCGTACCTCAGGTATATCAGTTAAATCGATAAATGATTGATTTTATTAAATATAATCGATTTTTTGAAGTTCTAATTATTTTTTAATTTTATAATTCTTTTTTACTCAAATTCAAATTAATTTGTTCGTAATTTAGGGGCACAAAATTAAATTGTTGTTATTTATAAATGACCACTTTCTGTTCTGTAACAAACTGTGGGTGTGAATTTCTATAGGATATACTATAAGCCAAAACTGTAATACAGATGACTACTTACTGAACTACTGACTACTGTAGACTAGATACTACGTAGTTGCCTGATAATAGAACGGAATCAATACCACTGAGGTGAATGGTAGAATTATGGATAAAATAATTTACGATTCCCAAAATAATTTTGTTTTAAAATTGTGTATAAATGTCGGAGTTATTAAGTAACATACAAAAAAAGATACAGCCAAATTGAGCCTCTCGAATTGAATGGCCTTTTTGAAGTCGTTTAATTTAATATTGATAATAACAGAAATCTCCTAAATTATGTTTAATAATTTCGGGATATTTTTTTCTCGTTTTCTTCCATCCATTATGTAATTATATATTTAAATGCCAGGATATTAATTAAAAAATAATAGGCAGATATATACTTATTCGTAATAAGTATGCAGAGTTGTTTTGTTGTGTTCTCACGAACGCAATTAACTAAATATATAATTACCTAAACGACAACAGAACCCTTGAACTTTACAAATTTATCTCATGACGATTCAGGTAACATGTTATAAATTAATATGCAACAAATATTAATATTTCTTACTTAAACTTATAATCTTCTTAATTATTGAAGAATAATGGTCGGTTCGATCATCTTCATGTAAGCCATTTATTGTAGGTACACTACTAAGCATGCATTTCTCATAGTCTGCTATAATAATACTATGCCTAGTTGATTCACATAGCGCTATCTCGTTTCAAGCTAAGCAGAGCTTGTGCTATAGGTATAAGACAACTTATAGATATCCTTAGATATATATTTTTTTGGGTACTCTTAATTATATGTATTATAATAGCTAACTAATTTTAAACGTAGAAATAATTTTACCTTGCTTTATATAAAAAATATCAAAGTTAATATAAAAAATCAGCAACTCTATAGGTTTCAAAGTGTGTTATCGTACCTACCAAAAACACAAGCTCTGCTTAGCTCAGGACTAGATGGAGCTAACTGAATTGTCCAGGGTTACTGTTGTTGAAAATGTATGTACCGTGACAGATTGTCATCGTCAGTGCCGTGACCACGTAAATAATTTATATGTTAGTCTGTAAGGTATTGATAATATGGGTCATTAGTAGCATTAATTAAATAAATAAATATAAAAAAATACTGTGTTGGTAGCATAAATATGGGAGTAAATTAATGGACATTGTCTAATACAATCGATAAATTGCCCAAAAATAATGTTTTTCCTCTAACTCAGTAATTTTGCTGTAGTAATTATTCAATTGTGTGCTTAAATAAGGGCGAAACACATTAACCAATTTGCAGCATATTAGACATTGCTACTATCTGGAATCATATACTAGTACTAATATCTCCCATCCTAATTATATTAAGTACTATTATTGATACTAATAATATGTATTTACAAAAAATGTATCTAAGTATTTCTATCAGTTATCTAGGACACATAACACGAGCTCTGCTTAGCTAGGGTCTAGATCGCGTTGTGTGAATTGTCCATGAGTATTATTATTAATACAACCATATACTGGACAGAATATGTAATTTCAAAATGGTCACAATGTCACCACACTATAAATTGGATAATGTAAAATGGCCCTTACTATTAATGTACATTGAAATGTACATAAGTGCAAAACCATGGGAAATATTGATAGATGTCTATTGTTGTAGGAATTGCGATTAATTATTGTGAACTTAATGGTCTTAATATACGTGTACGCATTATGTCATTGTTTTGTAATTTTAGGCTTAGCTTGGATTATTAGAAGGTCATAATATTTTTCTACCGACATAACAAAGAAGAATGTTGTATATCTAACTTCCGTTTTGGGTATACTATATTCATTGGCATAACATTTGCCGTCAACGGTTTCAACGCTAATTTATAGTCGATAATATTCATATTGTTTTTATATAAGTGAAATTAAAAATGAAGCAATAATCCAAAACTGTCAGTGAAATGCGCTTTATCTATGATTATCGTTTTACCACCTTACGTACATAGTTTTTAATAGTTAACTATCTATTTATATAGAAACGTAACTAATTAAAAATAAACATGTGAATAAAAGTATATAGAACACAAAATAAATATAAATAAGATTCCTTCTTATTTTAAATTATTTATTTGAAAATTGAAGCTAATCCTGAGTCATTATAAAACTTCGTAAGTGCAAATCTATTAAACTATTGCATAGTTGTATAAACACGAAACATCGGAACATATAATTTTGTATAATAAAGTGTCATGTGATGAAATAATTGTGAGTACTGCCAGAGGATCGTAAATTAATCACGTATCTCGTAAAAATTTGTAATTAACCCCATACGTAAGTACCTATGTCTCGTCATATTTCACAAATGCCAAATAACCATGGTCACAAAAATATGTTAATTACACACAGCCTGAAAAAGTGGTTTAATTAATCTATATTCCTACCGTAGGTAGACTGTGCAAAGTATTATAGTTTGCGTGGGTACACTTGTCTCACCTATTTCTATTTATTTGTCTATTCTCAACTTACAAAATAAACTACAACAAACTTAGTGTTTCGGTTGGAGGATCAGATAAAGCAGTAAAATTATAGGGTAACTTTTTAGTCGTCAGGAATAGCAAAGCATGGGCATTACATGATAATGAAATGTCCATAGTGTTGTTCATGTATATAGGCAAAGTTTACCACTTACCATAAAGTGGGCCGTCAGCTTCTTTACCATTCCAATTACATAAAAAAACATTACTTTCATTTTACATTCAAAGCATAAGACATTTGTTGATAGTGGTTATAAGTTGTATAAATTAATGATAATGTGAATGTATGTTAAAACACATCAATCCCTTTTAATTGTAGGTACCAATGATGATGAAATCAACACGGAAACGTAGACTGCACGTCAACTGACCTCACGAATCTCATCTCAACCTTTCGATTAACACTGCCTCGTGTACGCATATTGTTTGGGATGATTTGTTTTATTTTGTTTAATGTAAATAACATCAGAAGTACATAGAGGCATAATTATGTGCAGTAGTAAGAGACATTGTCAACTGTCAATGTCGTGTGAACATTAATTTGACATACCCACATTTCGTATAGAATATTTGAATCCAACATAACAAAGAACGAGCGTACTTCCGAGCCGTCTCTTGGACTTTTATTTATTATCAATTTGCAACCCGACCATGCTTGGTACGGGTATTTAGACAAATTTATTTGAAACCTTAACGAATTATACAACAAATCCTTCCTCAGAAATCAGTGTATTGATGGATGAAAACTGCAAGAAACCGGTTTTCCGAGTAATCGTTTTTATTATTATGAATATAGTGAACGTAAAAACAAACGCGGCTGAGAAACTTTGAAACTTGAAACTTTTATAATATATATATAATGTTTCGATTTTTATATTAATATGGTAAATTTTTGTATTAAATAGTTTCTATCATACGATCTTGAGGTCACCTCAAAGATTAGCGGGTAATTTGAAATTAGTTAATAATATGTAAAATTGACTTTTAATAATAGTGTCAGGCCTACTTATCTAGTCATTTGTCAGAACCCAGCCATTTTTCATAGCCAATTCATTGACATTCTATTGAAGCATCTGTCTAGCTGAGTTGGAGGCCTAGTTGTCGTGACAAATCGTGTCTTAAACATATTTTGCAACAATCCATTTATCTGTTTGTTATATCTATGCATTTGCTAGACAGTTATGTCAAATACTGCTGAACTTAAATTTTATCACCGCCAAATCAATATGTCAATAGAACATTATGAAAGTTCTGTTCAAATAATGACAACCTTTTGACATTTAATATCGATAAGCAATACCTGACTCACCAATTACTATGATTGATTATATACTAGAAGGTATTGAAGAAGACAAATTGCGTTTTTCTTAATTTTAAACTAATTGATTTATACAATTGTGTATACATATATTAGTTTAAAATTAAGAAAAACGCAAACCTACAGTTTACGTTCTGTTCTTTATTACGTTATGTTAGGTAAACTTTATATTTTCGCAAACGAGTAAAGTATTTAGTGCGGTAGGCAAAGACCATTATCTGTTACTTCTTGATTTACATAACAATTTGGTACATTATTTCAATATTTTTAAATAAATCAATAAGCAACTTCTGTTGTTTGGGGTTTTACAAGCAATGGCCCTGGAAACCATCACTACAAATTACCATGATGAACTATGTCATGTGACTTCACTCTTATGATATCATCTTGCACGCTAGCTTATAGCAGGCACCTAAACTATTTCTATTACTTACAAGAAATTAACATGATTAATAAATACAAAAAAGTTAATTGATAAATATATACAGTTGTTCCTTTTTAAACCCTATTTGCTCAGTAACCATAAAAATATTAACAATAAAAAACCTACGGTTCTAAGATATAAGAAAGACCACAAATAAACGCATGGGATCTACCACAGGCTTCACATAGTTTTCTTGGTCTTCATATATATAGACGACAGCTACCGCCTACGGTGGTTGTTTGTTTATTATTCTAGTAATTTAAACAGAATCCTTAGAAAGACATTTGTAAATGTAAGGTCTCAGCATTGTTTATTGCTCCCTAGAGAGGATTTAATTTAATTTTCCAACCCAATTTCACACTTAAACTGTATCATCGTTATGTTATGTTTTGAGAACTGATATATGATTATGTGTGTATAAAGTTCAATCAATTATATGCAGTAGTTATTGCTTGATACCCCTATAAGTATTGAGTGCAATTTCGTTATATTTTACTTTTTTACTTTACGTAAAACTGCTGTTCTAGCCAGAAAAAAAAGCAAATCTGCGAATACAGTACATGAGTTCGGTGACATGTTATTTATTAAAATAACGACTTGAAAGGTCTGGGTTATATATTATTCGAAAAATATCTTTCTTTTTCCCAAAACAAACGAAACGACATTCTGGACAATTAATAATTAATATGTTTCTTCTTCCAGGCCCCATGAAGCGGCTGTCATGCGCATAGCGACATTGATTGCACTCGTGCAGGTATGTCAATCGCGTGATGATTATCATAATGTTTGCTTTACATTAAAATATATTTTACTGCTGAATTCATAATAATAATTACCATTACTAACAAAATTCTAACATTTATACACCAAATATAATCGTCTAATCTACATAGATCTACATCTACAGTAGATTTGTTCTTAACTAATATTTATAGAAACGGCTTTATTATTTTACCTTTGTATAGTTATATACAAGTTTATATACAAGAAAATATGAGGCTGAAGGCTATGAAAAATACTAGTACTACAAAGTGAAACATTTTCACTAAGAAACTATGTTGATTTCTAAAAATACATTTTTAAATTTAACATAGATCGCGTAATTTGAACAATGGTTTTAAAAATGTTTCTTCCAATTTTCTTCTTTGTAAATATTATTTAATTTCATGAATACAGTAGCTAACTTTTAACCTAATATACCGACTAATGTTTTCTATTAAAAAATGCAACTATATTTTTGAATTTCGATTAATTTGAAAATACAAAACTAAATATTAAAAAATACAAAGTATTAAACTGCAGTTATAACTGTTTTTCAATTATGTGCAAATCTCAGAATGTCTGTTTTTTTTTGTGTTTATGTCTGGAATATTTTTATGTTCCGATTTAGACTTTCTTTAATAAATAGCTACTATTTGTTAAAGAAAGTCTAAATCGGACGGACGGAATCGAATAGGAAAATTGTTCTGTATCTGAATTAATTAAAATTTTCAATAAGTATATGTAATTACGTATTACCAACTTCTTTATATATTGTCTCGGTGGCGGTAGTGGGTACTTATTGTATGATGAATTTTTTATATATTTTTTCTGTGTTCATCTCACATAGACCTATTAATTTCCTAGACCTTGGCCAATTCACTTGTCACTATATTTTTCCATCTTATCTAAGAAACTCCCAAGCTCATCAACTAACATGTACATGTACATTTGCGTAACAGTGAAGATTCAAGTTTATCATTGTCATTCAATCATGATGTAATATACTCAATAAAGTTGAAGGTACTGGTATGAGTAACGATAGATATTAATAATTTTGTAATACATTTATCTATTTTTATACACATTCGATCAACACAACAAAATTGTACAATGACTTAATGCTAGATTAATTTAAGAAAAAGCATCAGCTTACGTAAATTTAATTTATACCTTTATGCATAGGTCCTTCCTTGAATATAAACGGTACTTAAGCTTAGTATAGAACACCTTAGCTGTATATAATTAATAGGTACAGACTGAACTAATGTTTTTTTAGTTTAAAAACTAGTAAATTCCTATTATGATACATGATCGGTCTGCCATAAATTGCAGTAAATACAATGATTTTAAATAAACTTTTAAATGCTGGGGCGCTACAAGTGTCACACCACCTTACAAAATATGCTAAAATAAGCGATAATGACAAATAGTTTTTTTATTCTATATGTAAATTACTTAATAATCCATTATTTACATACATTTAAATATAAAATATTTAATTAAGTAAAATTGTATTTTTTTTTATTATTATTTAATAAATCACTATACTATGAAGATGTGACGAAAAGATATAAGGATCAGAAATAATAATTTTATAGATGTTTGATAACGTCGGAATATCTCTATTTTGCCGCAACGACAGCCTATATTTTGTGATTATATATCACCTGTAAGGTCATTTATCACACATTTCTACTATATAAAGAGTTTAATCATAATTTGCATCGACATAAAGTTAGCCAACATTAATAAAGAACAATATAGTTACATTTTTCACAACACTCAATAGTTTGTAACCTAGCTGCAAGTACTTAACGTGAGAGTGGAAAAAAATTACATTGTGTTTATGCGAACAATAAATTATAGATATCATTATAATTACTTTGTTGGCCCGATCTTGGCGAATGCGAATTTGATAATAGTGTTGTCTTGCTTACATTTTACAGTAATAGATCTTAATCTGTATAAATCTAGAACTGAAATCTAAGTATATTGAAACAAAGTGCACTTTGTAGTAATAACCAAGGTAATACTTATATTGGAACAAAATAGATATCATATACCAACCTACCGAATATATTGTTGTAATATATATTATAATATATATATTATGTTGATAATTGTAATTATTTAGCTAATCTGAGTAAATCGAGGTACAATAAATTTAATATATATTTTAATCAGATTCAACGCTACTAACCCTATTGTTTTACATTTTTAATGCTAAAATTGGGTTTTCTAAATATATCCTACATATCAGCCTCTATTTTTTGACATAAGAGCCTATCTCCGTCGTCGTGATATAAACCAACATTTTTCAAAATTCATTAAGATCTGCTCAGCCGTTTAGTTGTGAAAGGATAATAAACATATAGTCACACTTAAATTTATAACATTAGTATAATTTATAAAATAAAATAGAACAGTGACGGTGTGTTCAACTCAAACTGTATATTTGCTGTAGCTGTCGCTCGCTACAGCTGTTTCAGATGATGCCATCAACACACTCACAGCGGCGGAGTTGAATCTCCAATTAGCCGGAGACAATGCACTCTCACCATTCTATGAAACGAGCGCCGAAGACGCCGGGGTTAACTTTATTAGGGGTTCTAGAGCCATAGACACTCCATTATCTCCTGACATAAACGTGCAATGTGGGTCCGATTATATCGATGTAACTGTCGAATTCCCTGATATTTACGATGGTATTATATACAGTAAAGGACATCTTAACGACCCCAAGTGCAAGTAAGTGGTACTTAATTATTATATTATGACACGAAATAAAGTAAAAGCGTGAGTGCTAATTTCACAATTTTTCACAAGTAGTTTAAGCTCCGTATTAATCAATTATTAATTACTAATGGCCACAATTGTAGTGTGCAGTTGATTTTGTAATAAAAATTTGAATACAAATTTAAAAATTAAGTATTCATCAATCCTATTTCAGCCGCTTATACATGTTTGTTTTTCACTATCCTCACCGTTCAATTTGGTTAGTTTAGTTGGGAAGATTTGGCAAGAAAATCGTTTGGTACATTTTATGTATTAATATGGATATGGATATATCTTTGTTACTTGAATACAAATATTCTGTTTTATTTAAACTCTTGAGTGATACCTTTTTTATCTTTAATTTCAGATATGTAACCCTTGGAGGTAGTGAATCGCATTACTCGTTCAGAGTACCACTAAATGGCTGTGGTTCTCGACCTCTCTGTAACGCTTGCGGGAGTATTGATAACATCTTAGTTTTCCAAGCTGATGACTTCGTCCAAGGACCATTAGACTTCGCTAGGAAGGTAACAGATTTTTTTAAGAATACTATTTTTGAAATTAACGTAATTGTCATACCTTATACCGGATAGATTCTTCAGTTAACTTAAACGGGTTTGGACTAGAACAATTTTATTGGACATGGAAATGAAGAAACTGTTTGTACAAAGTCAACTACGTTTATTTTTCGAGCAGTAATCCAGTTTTGATAGGGAACGTACTTACGTTACGTTACGTTACGACTACTTAGTCGTGAAGGATATGAATGCTTCAGGAGCTATCATACTCATAATATACATGATTTGTGATATAGTGATATAGGTTATGGTTACCTCGTGCTCCGTCCACTAACGAGGTACTTACCTATGTTTATAGTCTATGTAGAAAAGCGTGGTGGGTACTTTAGTCTCACCTACTACAGTCACTAAATAACTTGTATTGTAAACTGTGTTTCAATAGAAGGATGAAATATATACGATAACGTGATCTCTATAGTACTGTTCATGTATATAAGAGACGATTAACAGTTATTAAATATTAATTGTTTTCTTATTCAGGTATCGTGTGCAAGCACGTCTTTAGAAGTGTCAGCAGGCATTGGGAAACAAGAAGAAACGCATACACTTAAACTAAAGCCTTTCATGGTGGACATGCTGGATGTAGTAGCAGTACAGGGCCCCGCTGGCGGTGTCGAATGCTGGATGGACATACAAAAAGGAGTGTTCCCAAATGTAAGCATTTGAAATTAATAAGGACCGCCTTTGTAATTTACTCCAAAAATCTTCATACTCGTTTTAATTGTTTAACATTTATACCGTTAATACTTATTGGAATAAAGTAAAATCTAGATTTTAGAAATCCTTAACAATAGCACAGGTAAGATAATATTACATACCAATAGTGAAAACTGCACGAATCTCGCAAAAACGCCCATATATAGATTTAGCCCTATCTGATCCTAGACTAGAATAGGGACAACAAATCGTCATTGATTCGGAGGTGTCTCTTACGTGGATGGTGTAGTCATAGACAAATTGCCTGCTATTACAAATCAATGCAATACTTAGATTTTTATATCTTTCATTATATTTAATTCAGCAGTTTAGACGTAAAAACGTAAATAATAATAATATTCCTAGACAACCTAAACAGAGAATATGTTATGGGTAGTAGACGACTAATAGAAATACATAAAACAGTGTGTGTAAGTACAAGTGTTTGTAAATGCATACATCATTACATAGTATAAAATAAAGTCACTGTCGCTCTCTGTCCATCCCTATGTATGCTTAAATCTTTAAAACTGCGCAGTGGATTTTAAAGCGGTTTAATTTAATAGATGGAGTGATTCAAGAGGAAGGTTTATACATATATATAATACATGTAAACCCGTGCGAAGCCGGGGCGAGTAGCTAGTAATATATATAGAAAACACGACCATAAAAAGTAAAGCGATGAGCTAGACCGCCGAGGCCGTCAAAATTATAACTATTGCTTTGGGTTCTATGTGTAAAATATCAAATAAAAAAAAACTATTCAATTAAATAATATATATAATTTATTAAAACTTGGTAATTACAACATTATTTCAGACTACTCCTCTTAAAGATTCGATCAAGATTGGTGAATACCTTACTATACTGGTATACTTAAAGGATATCAGAAACCAGTTTAACCTGAAGATACACGACTGTTGGGCATACGATAGCGAAAATTACGATGGACCTAAAACAAACAAAATACAACTGACAGACAAGGAAGGATGTCCTAAGTAAGTAACGAATAGCTAATTATATGATTATCTGCATTATGAGATGTGTTCATAAGCATAAAGAAGAAAAGTCGGTCTCACTTATCTTAGCCGCCAAGCAGTCTGCTTTGTAAACCGTATTTAAAGGATATTATTATTTAGGTGTATATCTTGATTTCCGGAACAACGCGGTATCACGGTACAACATAATGTTCGTGGTTCAGTTCTGTGTCGTATTGTCGTCAGCTTTGTTGCTATTTTAAGCTATCAAAATTAAATCATTTAGGTGGAGGTGCACTGCTGAATGTTTCGTAGAAAAAATATTTTCGAAGATTTTCATTTTAGGCATTACTATTAAATTTGTTTACAGAAAAAGAAAACTTGTTGACCTATGGCAAAAGTCGACTAACACAGGCGACAGCGGCGCCACGTTAATTGCTTATAGCAAAGTCAGTGCTTTCAGATTCCCAGAAACGGATCAGGTGTATCTCACTTGCAATGTCGAGGTAAGTTAAAATAAACTATACTTATATAAACTTTACTCCAAATTTGGTAACTTCGCCATATTTTTAAAATGTATCAGTCAATCGCTAGCTATAGAATAGAAAATCATTTATTCAAATAAACTTAATTTAAGCACTTTTGAATGGTCATAACAATTTGTTTTTTATCGACCACTCGTTCGGAAAGCTGTCTCATCACAAAAAGAACGAGCAAGAAACTTGTGTGTTACTCTTTTAAATAATCCCTGTAAGTTTACATTTACAAGTCGAAACGTGTGAATACAAACTACCAACCAGCACTAATTTTTTAAAATATACAATAAGATCAAAGGGTCAAATATAAATATACAATAAGATTAAATCAGTCGTATGGTTAAGAGCAGACCATCTGTGGGACACTCATTTAAGAATTATTGAGTTATGACTGCTGATTAATTTATTTTGGCTATTATTAATTAATTTATTTTTCATAATATTATTGGCTCAAACTAAAACATGGAAGATTTTACTTTTCTAGAGTGTCTGTAATGGACCTACGTGAATATAAATTATTTAATTAGAAAGCTCTGTCATTTAATATTTTTTCTTGTAATGTAATGTAAATGTTATCAGTTAGCATAACTAATAAAAATATCACTTTTGATAAAGTAATATTTTTAGTCTGCTTATTGTTAAATTAAATGTAAACTCAAGACTTATCCACAAATCGCTAAATTTATTTAATCTACCACTATATTTCGGACTAATAGAGTGTTTTAATCTTTTGGTTATTTATTTATATACAATTTAGTCCTTCAAATTTATTTACCCAGATTTATTATCATTATTATATTAAAATCTAATAAGACAAAGTATTAACCTACATAACATTTTCTTGTTAATATTATGAATTTCTTTAAAAATAATCTTTATACGATTCATTTCAGTTGTGTACAAATAATTGTGACGCCAACTGCCAAGGAATTACTAGTGAAATCAGCACAACAATCAGACCGCAACAGCAATGTTATCCTGGTTCTAAAGATTCTAGATGTCAACAACAGCCTAAGTGTTACCCCGGATCAACAGATCCACGTTGCCCTGGACTACCGTCAACTGAGCGCCCTAATTGTTATCCTGGTAACACAGATCCAAGATGTCCAAAACCAACAACACCTCAGCTTAATTGTTATCCTGGCAGTACAGACCCAAGATGTCCGAGGCCTACTACACCTTCTCAGCCTAATTGTTATCCTGGAAACTCTGACCCAAGATGTCCAAAGCCAACAACACCTTCTCAACCTAACTGTTATCCCGGCAACACAGACCCAAGATGCCCAAGGCCAACTACACCTCAATCTGATTGCTATCCTGGTAGTACAGATCCAAGATGTCCAAGGCCAACTACACTTTCCCAACCTAACTGTTATCCTGGCAGCACAGACCCACGGTGTCCCAGTCCCTCCACAGTTCAGCCTAACTGTTATCCAGGTTCATCAGATTCACGATGTTCTACATCAACACAACCAACGAAAAGTCCCTGTTTCCCAGGTTCTAACGATCCAAGTTGTCCTAAATCTATTACATCATCAACTCCCGCAGCCCCTAATTGCTTTCCAGGAAATACAGACATTCGCTGCCAACAATCTTCAACTTCAAAACCTATTTGTTATCCAGGCTCACCAAACCCTAGCTGTCCCCAAATACAACCATCAACGCAGAGTCCCCCAACTTACTTGCCACCGTCTACTACTGAATTTAAATGTTTCCCAGGTTCAACTGACTCCAGATGTCCCAAAATTACTAAGCCCACACCGCCTTCCCCAACATTACCATCACTTCCGAATTGTTATCCTGAAAGTAAGGATCCACGATGTCCTAAACCTACAACCCCAGCATCTCTTAACTGTTACCCAGGAAATACAGATCCTCGCTGTTTTAGACCGTCTCCTGATCCTAAACTTAATTGTTATCCTGGTTCCAAAGATCCAAGATGTCCGAAACCAACCACTGCTTCACAGCCTAACTGCTACCCAGGTAGTTCAGATCCAATATGTTATGCGTTAACATCACCTAAGCCTGTATGTTACCCTGGCTCTAACGATCCCCGCTGTTCTCGACCAACACAATCAACCACAATAAATGTGCCTACTTATTTACCTTCAACTACACCACAATCATCTCCATCAACCGTAACATTAACTGGGTGTATCCCTGGCAGTAAAGATAGCAACTGCCCACAGCCCACGACTCTACGACCAAACTGCTATTCAGGCAGTTTAGATCCACGATGTCCCAAAATTACAACAACAACATCTAAACCAGTTTGTTATCCAGGATCTCCAAATCCAAATTGTCCACAACCATCCAGACCCACCACACTCACTCCACCTACCTATCTTCCGCCATCAACTACAAACGCCAAGTGTTATCCAGGATCTACAGATGCTACTTGTAATCAACAAACAACGCTACGTCCTAACTGTTATCCTGGTAGTACAGATCTAAGATGTCCTCAACCAACAATTACACCGCGCCCTAACTGTTACTCTGGCAGTACAGACCCAAGATGCCCTCAACCATCAACTGTACCTCGACCCAATTGTTACCCCGGCAGCACCGACCCGAGATGTCCTCAAACAACAACCTCAGCTCGGCCTAACTGTTATCCAGGCAGTACCGATCCAAGGTGTCCTCAACCAACAACTACTCCTCGTCCTAACTGCTATCCTAGTAGTACAGATCCAAGATGTCCTCAACCAACTACCACACAACGTCCTAACTGCTATCCTGGTAGTACAGATGCAAGATGTCCTCAACCAACCACTGCATCTCGTCCCAATTGCTATCCTGGCAGTACAGACCCTAGATGCCCTCAACCAACAACTACTTCTCGCCCTAACTGTTACCCTGGCAGCACAGATCCAAGATGTCCTCAACCTACCACTACATCTCGTCCCGATTGCTATCCTGGCAGTACAGATCGAAGGTGTCCTCAACCAACGACAGTATCTCGTCCCAATTGCTATCCTGGTAGTACAGACCCACGATGTCCTCAACCAACAACTACAGCTCGGCCTAACTGTTATCCGGGTAGTACCGATCCAAGGTGTCCTCAACCAACAACTACTCCTCGTCCTACCTGCTATCCTGGTAGTACAGACCCACGATGTCCTCAACCAACAACTACACCTCGACCAAACTGTTACCCTGGCAGCACAGATCCAAGATGCCCTCAACCAACAACTACATCTCGTCCCAACTGCTATCCTGGTAGTACAGACTCACGATGTCCTCAACCAACAACTACACCTCGACCAAACTGTTACCCTGGCAGCACAGATTCAAGATGTCCTCAACCTACCACTACATCTCGTCCCAATTGCTATCCTGGTAGTACAGACTCTAGATGCCCTCAGTCAACTACACAAAAAACAGTATGCTACCCTGGTTCACCTAATCCTCAATGCCCACAACCGTCTCGACCAACTACATTAACACCACCTACTTATCTACCGCCACCAACATTATCGCCTACAACTGTACGCCCTAATTGTTACTCAGGTAACACAGATCCAAGATGCCCTCAACCAACAAGTAAACCTCGTCCCAACTGTTACCCTGGCAGCACCGATCCGAGGTGTCCTCAAACAACAACCTCAGCTCGTCCGATTTGCTATCCTGGCAGTACAGACCCAAGATGCCCTCAACCAACGACTACCTCTCGTCCCAACTGCTATCCTGGTAGCACTGATCCAAGGTGTCCTCAACCATCAACTACACCTCGGCCAAACTGTTACCCTGGCAGCACAGATTCAAGATGCCCTCAACCAACAACTACCTCTCGTCCCAACTGCTATCCTGGTAGCACTGATCCAAGGTGTCCTCAACCATCAACTACACCTCGGCCAAACTGTTACCCTGGCAGCACAGATTCAAGATGCCCTCAACCAACAACTACCTCTCGTCCCAACTGCTACCCTGGCAGTACAGATCCAAGATGTCCTCAACCAACAACTACAGCTAAGCCTAACTGTTATCCGGGTAGTACCGATCCAAGGTGTCCTCAACCAACAACTACTCCTCGTCCCAACTGCTATCCTGGTAGTACAGATCCAAGATGCCTTCAACCAACGACTACCTCTCGCCCCAACTGCTATCCCGGCAGTACTGATCAAAGATGTCCTCAACCAACAACTACAATTCGGCCTAATTGTTATCCAGGTAGTACCGATCCAAGGTGTCCTCAAACAACAACCTCAGTTCGTCCCAACTGTTATCCTGGCAGTACAGACTCAAGATGTCCTCAAATAACAACTACACCTCGTCCCAAGTGCTATCCTGGTAGTACAGATACGAGATGCCCTCAACCAACGACTACCTCTCGTCCCAACTGCTATCCTGGCAGCACTGATCCAAGATGCCCTAAACCTACTACTCAAAAACCAGTATGTTATCCCGGTTCACCAGATCCTAGTTGCCCACAACCTTCTCGTCCTACCACATTGACACCTCCCACGTATTTGCCACCATCTACATCTAGACCAAAGTGTTATGCAGGTTCCACCGACTCTCGTTGTTCTCAACCAACAACTACACCGCGTCCCAACTGTTATTCTGGTAGTACAGATCCAAGATGTCCCCAACCAATAACTACACCACGTCCTACCTGCTATCCTGGTAGTACTGACCCAAGATGCTCTCAACCAACGACTACCTCTCGTCCCAACTGCTATCCTGGCAGCACTGATCCAAGATGCCCTAAACCAACAACTACAGCTAGACCCAATTGTTTCCTTGGCAGCACCGATCCGAGGTGTCCTCAAACAACAACCCCCGCTCGCCCCAACTGTTATCCTGGCAGTACAGATCCAAGATGTCCTCAAACAACAACCCCCGCTCGTCCCAACTGTTATCCTGGCAGTACAGATCCAAGATGTCCCCAACCAACAACTACACCACGTCCTACCTGCTATCCTGGTAGTACAGACCCAAGATGCCCTAAACCAACGACTAGCTCTCGTCCCAATTGTTACCCTGGCAGCACTGATCCAAGGTGCCCTAAACCAACAACTACAGCTCTGCCAAACTGCCATCCGGGTAGTACAGACCCTAGATGTCCTCAAACAACAACCCCAGCTCGCCCCAACTGTTATCCTGGCAGTACAGATCCAAGATGTCCCCAACCAACAACTACACAACGTCCTAACTGCTATCCTGGCAGTACAGACTCAAGATGCCCTAAACCAACGACTACCTCTCGTCCCAATTGCTACCCTGGCAGCACTGATCCAAGGTGCCCTAAACCAACTACTACACCCCGTCCTAAGTGTTATCCTGGCAGTACAGACTCAAGATGCCCACAAACAACGACTACAACTCGTTCTAATTGCTATCCTGGCAGCACAGATCCTAGGTGTCCACAACCTACCTCCCAAAAACCTATATGTTATCCTGGCTCACCAGATCCCACTTGTCCACAACCATCCCGTCCTACCACATTGACTCCCCCTACCTATTTACCACCATCTACTTCTCAACCAACCTTGCGTCCCAACTGTTATCCAGGCAGTACGGATTCAAGATGTTCTAATCCAACAACTACTTCTCGCCCTAAGTGCTACCCTGGCAGCACAGATTCAAAATGTCCTCAACCTACCACTACATCTCGTCCCAATTGCTATCCTGGCAGCACTGATCCAAGGTGTCCTAAACCATCAACTACACCTCGGCCAAACTGTTACCCTGGCAGCACAGATGCAAGATGCCCTCAACCAACAACTACATCTCGTCCCAACTGCTATCCTGGCAGTACAGATCCAAGATGTCCTCAACCAACAACTGCATCTCGTCCCAACTGTTACCCTGGTAGCACTGATCCAAGGTGTCCTCAACCATCAACTACACCTCGGCCAAACTGTTACCCTGGCAGCACAGATTCAAGATGCCCTCAACCAACAACTACCTCTCGTCCCAACTGCTATCCTGGCAGTACAGATCCAAGATGTCCTCGACCAACAACTACCTCTCGTCCCACCTGCTATCCTGGTAGCTCTGATCCAAGGTGTCCTCAACCAACAACTACACTTCGACCAAACTGTTACCCTGGCAGCACAGATTCAAGATGCCCTCAACCAACAACTACATCTCGTCCCAACTGCTATCCTGGCAGTACAGATCCAAGATGTCCTCAACCTACCACTACATCTCGACCCAACTGCTATCCTGGTAGCTCTGATCCAAGGTGTCCTCAACCAACAACTACACTTCGACCAAACTGTTACCCTGGCAGCACAGATTCAAGATGTCCTCAACCTACCACTACATCTCGTCCCAACTGCTATCCTGGTAGCATAGACCCTAGGTGCCCAAAACCTACTACTCAAAAACCAGTATGCTATCCCGGTTCACCAGATCCCAGTTGCCCACAACCTTCTCGTCCTACCACATTGACCCCTCCAACTTATTTGCCACCATCTACGTCTCGACCACACGTGCGTCCCAACTGTTATCCTGGTAGTACAGATCCGAAATGTCCTCAACCTACCCCTACAACTCGTCCCAACTGCTATCCTGGCAGTACAGATACAAGATGTCCTCAATCATCTACCACACAACGTCCTAACTGCTATCCTGGCAGTACAGATCCAAGATGTCCTCAACCAACGACTGCATCTCGTCCTAACTGTTATCCTGGCAGTACAGATCCAAGATGCCCTCAACCAACAACTACGCCTCGTCCTAACTGCTATCCTGGCAGTACGGACCCTAGATGCCCTCAAACAACAACTACATCTCGTCCCAAATGCTATCCTGGCAGTAAAGACCCAGTATGTCCTCAACCAACGACTACCTCTCGTCCCAACTGTTATCCAGGCAGTATAGACCCAAGATGTCCTCAAACAACAACTACATCTAGTCTCAAATGCTATCCTGGTAGTACAGATCTGAGATGTCCTCAAACAACGACTGCATCTCGTCCCAACTGCTATCCTGGTAGTACAAACCCTAGTTGCCCAAAACCAACTACTCAAAAACCAGTATGTTATCCCGGTTCGCCAGATCCTAATTGTCCACAACCATCTCGTCCTACCACATTGACTCCTCCTACCTATTTACCACCATCTACTTCTCAACCAACCTTGCGTCCTAACTGTTATCCAGGCAGTACGGACCCAAGATGTCCTAAACCAACAACTACTTCTCGCCCCAACTGTTACCCTGGCAGCACAGATTCAAGATGTCCTCAACCAACTACCACACAACGTCCTAACTGCTATCCTGGCAGTAAAGATCCAAGATGTCCTCAACCAACGACTGCATCTCGTCCCAACTGCTATCCTGGCAGTACAGACCCAAGATGCCCTCAACCAACAACTACATCTCGCCCCAACTGTTACCCTGGTAGCACAGATTCAAGATGTCCTCAACCTACCACTACATCTCGTCCCAACTGCTATCCTGGCAGTACAGATCCAAGATGTCCTCAATCAACGACTGTATCTCGTCTCAATTGCTATCCTGGCAGCACAGATCCTAGGTGTCCACAACCTACTACTCAAAGACCTGTATGTTATCCTGGCTCACCAGATCCCACTTGTCCACAACCATCCCGTCCTACTACATTGACTCCTCCTACCTATTTACCACCATCTACTTCTCAACCAACCTTGCGTCCCAACTGTTACCCAGGCAGTAAGGATCCAAGATGTCCTGAACCAACATCTACTTCTCGCCCCAACTGTTACCCTGGCAGCACAGATTCAAAATGTCCTCAAGCTACCAGTACATCTCGTCCCAACTGCTATCCTGGCAGCACTGATCCAAGATGCCCTAAACCAACAACTACACCACGTCCTAACTGCTATCCTGGCAGTACAGATCCAAGATGCCCTCAATCAACGACTGCATCTCGTCCCAACTGCTATCCTGGTAGTACAGACCCAAGATGTCCTCAACCAACATCTACTTCTCGCCCCAACTGTTACCCTGGCAGCACAGATTCAAGATGTCCTCAACCTACTACTACATCTCGTCCCAACTGCTATCCTGGCAGTCCAGATCCAAGATGTCCTCAACCAACTACCACACAACGACCTAACTGTTATCCTGGCAGTGCAGATCCAAGATGTCCTCAACCAACGACTACATCGCGTCCCAACTGCTATCCTGGCAGTACAGACCCAAGATGCCCTCAACCAACAACTACTTCTCGTCCCAACTGTTACCCTGGCAGCACAGACTCGAGATGTCCTCAAACTACCACTTCATTGCGTCCGAACTGCTATCCTGGCAGCACAGATCCTAGATGTCCACAACCTACTACTCAAAAACCTGTATGTTATCCTGGATCACCAGACCCCAATTGCCCACAGCCACCACGACCTTCTACCTTAATACCACCTACTTATCTTCCACCATCACCTTCACGACCTACATGCTATCTAGGTTCTACAGATCCCAGGTGTGCTGAAACTACTTCACAACCTAATTGCTACCCGGGCAGTACAGATCCACGTTGCTCGAAACCAACTACATTGGGTCCAACGACGTCCATACAACCTCAATGCTACCCTGGAAGTACCGATATTAGGTGTACAAGACCTACAACTACTAAGCCAATATGTTATCCAGGATCACGTGATCCTAATTGTCCTCAGTCATCTCCTACTACTAGACCTCCGATATATCCTTCAACAGTTCAAAACTGTTTCCCAGGTTCCACAGATCCACGTTGTCCAAAAACCCCAACAACCTTACAATCTACAGTTAAACCACCTACAACACCACAGTCACAATGCTATCCTGGGTCTACAGATCCTAGGTGTCCTAAAACAAATCCACCCAAACCCATATGCTACCCCGGATCCCAAGATCCAAAATGTCCACAACCAGTAAGACCTACAACTGTATCTCCTACCCAACCAACATTTAGACCTAATTGCTATCCAGGCTCACCAGATCCTAGATGCCCAAAATCTCCTACTTCCACTCCTAGTTCATGCTACCCAGGTTCTAAAGACCCTAAATGTCCTCAACCTTTCAGACCTAGTAGTACTAATCCTCCATCCACGTACCTACCTCCATTCCCAGCAGAGAATGAAGTAAAATCGCCAAGAGTTGGGAGATTGGCTTCTAAAAATATTGATTACTATGATGAATCGCAATCAGAAATTGGTAAGATACAATAAATATATTTATAAAATAATAGCTACTACCCGCGACTTCGTCTGCTTTTGAAATAAAATATAATCTATGTGCTCGTGATATCTTCCTACCAAATTTCATTAAGATCCGTTCAGCCGTTTAGTCGTGAAAAAGTAACAACGGGCAGACAGACCAACTTCCGGATTTGTAATATCAATATAGATTGTCGAATTTATTTATTTTTATTTCTACAATATATCGAATGGCATCCGGCTGGTCAGCGCAAAATATACATTTATTTCCATACCTATTTGTATTACCTAAGCATTTTCTGTGTCTGGCCTATGTCCAGCAGTGGACGTCTTCCGGGCTGCGATGATGATGATGATGATGAAGCATTTTCTGTATCTATATGATATTCAGTAAACGTTAAAATTAATTACAGTTTAATTGTAATTCATATTATGAATATTGTTATATATAGAAGGTAAAGCCAAATAAAAGTAACATAATTTTTTAAGTCCTTGCAAATCCTTAATACATTCGAAAACCACCGCATTAATTGACAGCATCTCCCTAATTTCGGATACTTTATATACAAAATATTTGATTACCTTTTATGAAGGTATTGAATGCAGTAAAATAATAAAAAAGGTGGATAAATAATGCGCGACAGTGCTATCTTATATAATATAAAACATTACATTTCTAATATTTTATTTCAGATAACTTCGAATTTTCTAGAACGAAACCTCGATCTAGGAACATAAGAGACGTGACCCAAGTGAGCGAAACTATTGCCCCTTCTGTTGGTGGGTCAGCACTTTTACTATTATCTGTGGGTGCTGCCATTTTGGTGTTATCTGTAGCGATAGCCGTTCACATGAAAAGAAGATACAAAAGATCTATTACAACGGCAAACAATAGCGTTCAAAGTCTTTGTTGATCAATGTAGGTGCATAATTTTAACGATTTAACGATAATATTGTGATATTATAACTTTAAATTACTTTTCAGTTCTATAGAATTGCTAAGTAACAAATATTTAACAATGAATATTGATGATGCTGCCTTGTAAGAATTATATTTCATTTTAGTAATAATTATTCTATATAAACTATCACTGCCTTTTAGCTTTTAAATAAATAAATAAATCTTTAAGCTATGCCTATTTTATATATATAAAATAGTGCCATAAATATAAACAGTTGAACAGCCTTGGAATTTGTATTGTATATTTGCATTCCCTAGTCAAAATACAAACATAATATATTTGTATCTTCCGAAAGATATATGTACATAAGAGATATGCTGTTTATAATTAATCAACTGCATTGTGATATAAATATTTGTAAATATATGTTCGTCAGTATGTCTATGTGGCCATTCAATGTATAGAAATATGTTCTTTATTTGATTGTGTTTATGTTGAATATACATTTTGTGTTGTAGAAATGAGAGCGAACTTATAAGTACAGCGCTCTTTGTCAATTTACAACATAAAATGTATTCTAAATCATAATTTGAATTTTGTTTAGTTGTAAGATTGCTTTTTAAGTCAATCTAAGTAAAACATTCTATGAATGTAATATAATATGTGTGTTTTATTCTTCCATAATGACCCTTATAATGATGAGGAATAGAATAGAATAATAGAATAGAAAATAATTTATTCAAATAAACTTACATTGAAGCACTTTTGAATAGTCATTATATTTTTTTAATCTACCGTTCATTCGTAAAGCTGTCTCATCACAAGAAGAACGAGCAAGAAACTTGCGTGTTGCTCTTCTAAAAAATAATTTTATTATTACTTTACATTTTTAAGTTTAAGTGTGTGAATACAAACCACCAATTAGCACTAATTCAATTAAATACTCAAATAGAAAAAATATTGAATATATAACCAACTGGTTAAACAATTAATAAGAGGAAATCAGTCATAGTGATTAGAGCAGACCAGTGCTCATGGCAAAACAAATATGGTAACTAGTAACCTTCGCTATAAACAGCACGACAGACATCAGTCGTGCGTTGTCATTCCCGAGGACTAAGATGTCATGATTGTAGTATGTAATTTCACTCCCTTATTACCTTCAACCAACCATAGGATAATAAACATGAAATAGATAAAACTGAGATACCCAAGGTGGTGATTTTAGAAAGTGTACCTATTTCCAAAACAATTCGTATAAAATTGCTGTTACTGTTTGTCATAAGTACATCAGTTTCATATTATTATTATATTATACAATACTAGCTACTCGCCCCGGTTTCGCATGGGTGCACATGTATTATATATATAAACCTTTCTCTTGAATCCCTCCATCTATTAAAAAAACCGCTTCAAAATCCGTTGCGTAGTTTTAAAGATTTAAGCATACATAGGGACGGACAGACAGCGATAGCGACTTTGTTTTATACTATGTAATGATTATTATTATTTTCGAATGACTCAATAGAAATAGAAATAGAAATAGAAATAATCTTTATTCAAATAAACTCATTACAAGCACTTTTGAATAGTCATATGTTGATTCTACCACTCATTCGGAATGCAGATTCATCACAAGAAGAATGAGCAAGAAACTTGTGTGTTGCTCTTTTTAATAGATTTTTTTTTATATAAATAATTACAGTATAACAAGTAAGAGGCATGCGATAATCAACATAGAAGTCGCTACGCACTCATTATTAATGTAATCAGATAATATTGTCAGTGCTATAGATTTAAAGTTTTTCTATAAAAACATTATTATCGTTAACGAATTCTTCATATTGAATATTTTTTTTTTTTAAATTATAGTAAGCTTTTAAAGCAATAAAGACAGTTATACGTTAGTAAACATTCTCCAAAACATTTCAACAGTAATTTTATCCCGACGACCCCATAACGGCAGTTAACTTCCCTACGGGTCCTCCCGACCACACAATGACACATACATGACACCGTCCTCGCCGGCGAAGATGGCGACCCCAAACTTACCATACCGCGCAATCAACCGGGCAACTACGCGCGCCCGGGCGCACCACACCGTTGCCCTCGGTCGCCCCTCAAGATCGATGCCCCGTCCTATTCACGCGGGAAACGCATACAACCAAATTACGACAGCCTGAGCCGAAGTTCGAACCCCTAGCGGTGCCCTCCGACTAAAGTCGTATCTGTCAAGCGAGACTTGGCCTTCAGCCGCTCCATAAGTCCTTCCGCGGGTTTGAAGTGCCATCTGCACTTGCCCCCTATCGTCCAGTGAAGCTGTAAAGGCTAGTTGCGGCCAACAGCATTAGAGTAGTCCGAAAAAAAAAGTAATTCAAATATACTCATTCAATATGTCCGTAATTAGGCAGATATATATATATATATAACTCAAAGGTGACTGACATAGTGATCTATCAACGCACAGCCCAAACCACTGGACGGATCGGGCTGAAATTTGCCATGCAGGTACATGTTTACATGTAAAGGATAAAATAGGGGATGAAAGTTTGTATGAAACTTTGTCAATTTTAAACCGATCGGGCTTAAACTTTGCTTGCATAAATCTACTATGACGTAGGCTAAGAAAGGATTTTGATAAATTCCACCCCTAAGGGGATAATTTAACGCGAGCGAAGCCGCGGGCAAAAGTTATCTGTGGTATTACCTACACATATTACGTATGTATACTGGATCATAAATAAAACAAATAAAAGAGGTATGGAACGAGTTTTAATTAATACAAGAATTTAAAATTTGATGTGTTTATACGTACCTCTACAATACCATCAAATATTCGTTCTTAATTGACAAGATATTAATATTTCCTTTTGCAGTTGTATTTTATTATTCTTCTAAACTATTTCCTATGGCTTCATTAAGGCCAAAACTGTATATTTTGGGTTCCTATGTGAATTTTATAATTATAAATTTAACCTATGTACGTACTGGGCTGAGGCTAACAATCTATTTAACAGCTGCAATTAGTGTTGCAATCGTATAACTTAGCTCGCATCTGCAACTGTCAAATTGTTCTTAGAAAATATTTAACCAATCAATTTCAATTGAGAATTATTAATAACAACATCGTTACATGATTGGGGCACTGTTATTTGATTTGTGTCAGCATCACCTGTATGATCTTAGGTACGTTGTGTGGAATATATAAAAAGTTTTCAGCAATCGATACTAGTACATTGAAAAATATAATAAGACAATCTCTTAAAACTTCTATTATTATGTAACCTGTAGATATGCTACAATCTCTCTATAGAGTGCAAAGATAATAAATTATGAAATGTACTCGTAATTTAACAAATCTATTAATTAAATTAACATATCAAAGAAGTGACTTCAGGTCCCAATTACTAAAAGTGGTTACAAATAATGTCTGCATAACATCGTCAACTCATAATTCTTCATATTAGAAAATATGCTTTTACCAATTTAATAAATTGAAGGTTTTAAATTCAATTGTAACCTTTAACTGAAAAGATAGATTTAAACTATTAGGCAGCGTTTTGTTCTTTTTGTACTTATTTTTTCAATAAGCATTAAAAAGAACTAAAATTTTGTTTTAATGGTTTTTTTTTACATAATCGAAAACTTTGAATAGTATTGTAATTACATCACTATTCGTTAGAGTTTCTCTTAAAATTATATAAAAGAGTATTTAGTAATTAAATACATAAGTGATAATTTTTATTCTAAACAAACGGATATTAATTACGTACAATTTATCACAATATGTCGATATATGTATATAAACTATGACCTATCGTTCAATAAGTTTAAGCCTCATTGGTCCGTTTGGCGTGTACATGGGATGAATGTGGTATTCCAACGGTTCATGGTGATATTCCATTTTGAAGGCTTGTACAATCTGAAAAAGAATAATATACAATTTTATTATTATCTATACCTTCTACACTTCTATAATTTTACACAATACACGGCAAATATTGCTATATAAAATATAAAGAAAATTAGTGAGTAGAAAATTAGGGCCAGCGTTGACACCGAGGGGAATAAAAAATACATTTCAAACCCTACAGAAAAACAATTGAAATTGGTCAAGCCGTTTCGGAGTTAGATAACCAACACATATAAGAAGCTAATTATACCATTAGATAAAATATATATATATATAAACGGATAATGTTAAATTCTTTTTCTCTCGTCAAAATCTCGTGGGTCTAGATGTAATCAGTAGGATTTTTTAGCCAAGTTTCTTGTTAAATCTCAATAAACTACATTCAGAATTGATGGTAGCCTTGATTTTAATGGCTGTGGTCAATTGTCATGATCAATCATATCTTCATGATAGTTATTCCAGTTGCTGTCGACGTCCTGGCTAATGTACAATACTATACATCTAGCCGCGTATATTTGAGTCCAACGTGGCAGAGGGCGAGCCTACCTCTGCGTCTCTTAAATTAATTTTGGTTTACTAATTTTTCTTTCACATGAGAGTAAGTGAGAAATATAAATTGTCACACCAAGTTTCTTTAAGTACCATCGGTCTTGTCCTCTGGGAATAGATATATGCATATAAGCATATACAATACGTACTACCAGGGGGGAAAAGGGTTATTAATATGGACTGATGATCTTATTGCTATCAATGTACCATATCAGGTTGCCCGCCACGCGGTTGCCCCTGGAGACCATCATGATAAATTCTTGGTGAACTTATCACGATGGGTTCACTGACCTGACCTCTTGCTCATCTTATCATCCTCCACTGGTGCCCGCCAGCGTAAACCGTTAGCACAGGCAGGTGCACTAGTCCATACATAAAAAAAATACAAATATTAAAAAAAGTAATGTTGAAGTAAATAAATATTAGTATCAATTAACTACCTTACAAATGACAGTGTGTATTTCTAATTCGGCAAATCTTCTACCAAGACACATTCGTTTTCCAAAACCGAATGGCAGAGATGCGAAAGGATGATGGTTCTGTCCATCTGTTCTCCGTATCCACCGTTCAGGGCAGAATTCTGATGCGTTAGTGAAATACTCTTCCGTATTACCCATGACATAATGTTGAAATATCACTTGCGTCTGAAATATTAAAAATGTTATATAGTGCCATTTAGCGGTAATCACTTTATTACCTATAAGCTTACGTTTATAATTTTTTAATGTAATCATTAAATCATCGAAATATTTTGTTCACCATGCCATTGACTGTTATTAGAAATTTAAAAACACTATAATAAATATTTTCACTTCCAAATCGCATAGCCGCTTCAACAACATTGCGCCGTTTAATTAATAATTACCAACAGATGGCATTAGTTGTATAGAGTTTTTAACAAAATGAACATCAAAACAATTCCTAAGTAGTGGACAAAATTATTGATTACAAAATTATATTGTAAACGTATTTTTATTAAGATATCATATAAAAATAAATGCTATTAGTACATTAAGTATGGTTTTAGTTTAAAAAGAAGCAAACACAATATCCAGGGCCGGCGGAAACGGGCATGCAACGCATGCGGAACATGCGGGCGCCTTGTCGAAGGAGGCGCATCACGAGATTCGGATATATAAAATAATTTTATTACAATATAGAATCTATAGAATACCTAATAAATTATAATAAATAATCTTATTTAACTACAAATACGGAGACATTAACCGCGCTAGGATAAAAATTGCATGCGGACGCTGAGGACCGGCCAGCGCCGGCCCTGACAATACCTACTACCTTTTTAAAATATTACTATATCAATCTTTTTCAGTCTATGTTTAGTCATATTTACTTTAAGCAAATCAACGAGTTAGCCTTACATAAGATTTCACAACTTTTTACGATAGCAGTGTACCTGTTAGGTTTCAATGAAAGATGTCTAAAACACTTTATATATATATATATATATTTTACTTACACCCTTTGGTATATTATAACCACAAATAACGGTGTCCTTTGTTAACTGCCTGCCATTACCAATTACAACTGGATACATCCTGCAACATCAGTTTCAGATGATTTATTAAAAATATCTCATAAACAATATTAACAATTGATCGTTTTATCCCTACCAAAGGTATATTAAAGTTAAGTATCTAATAAAACGTATTAAAAAACGTTTATTTAAGATACTTAATTAAATAAAGCAAAAACATTCCAAATTCAAATATCGTAATAATATATGTAGAAAATAAATTGGCGAAAGAACCTCAAGAACGGTTCCTTCATCAAGATTTCAGCCATAAATGGCCAAATGACACTTCTATAAGTGAATTAAGTTGATACCAAACACTACATACGACTACGAGATTTTCGCACTTATATCTTACAGAGAGATGGCTGAAGTATCTAACTATCCATACAACTTCTATACTAATTACTTATATTTATCAGCTTTTATGGAAAGAACACATCCAATCCAAATTTCATACGACTTTATAATTTAAAAATATTTAATTAGGTACATAAAAAATTACATACCTTAAAACTTCTTTGATACACGCCCTTAAATAAGGCATCTGATTAACGTCTCCAGTTTTCATAGGTCTACCCTGCAGGACCCCACTAATTTCCTCATAAAGCTTCTCTTGGACATGTGGCCTCAAAGACAGTTGGTATAACGTCGAGGCGACTGCATTTGATGTCTGTAGTATTCAAAATCACACATTTAACAATTTGCTAATCATTTTTGATCAGGCATTCGTTTTGTGAATGCATCTATTTTTTTAACACGAAATACACAACGAAAATAGATTTTAATCTAGCTTTTTTTACATAAGTATATGTACTAGATATCTTTTATATAACAAACATACAATTCGCCTGACGCTGAACAATCATTTCACCAACAACAAAGGCATTAGCATAGTAAATCTCTAAGTATAACTTATTAAGAACGCCTTCAGCGCGTCAGTATGGGGAGAAGTATTAAAGAACACAATATATAGTATATCTTCGTTTTTATAATAGAAATAGTTTAATTATGTTTCAAATTGTCTGAAAGTATAATCGCCTTGGGAGTCTAGTGGTTTAACTCACCGCATTTACTTCCGATGGCCGCGGGTTCAATGCAAAGTAAACAAGTTTTTCATAAGTAGGTACCTACGATTGCTTTTATTAGTCTGTGTATTTTATAGGTACATAGAAAAGTATAATAGTGGAATATTAAATATGTACTTTTACTTAAAATTTACTTAAGTATTTCTATTAGTTGTCTCCATGCCCTAATTAACTTGGGACTAGATGGCGAGATGTGATGTACATACACAACACCTTTGTCCATGCTTATGTATATATTAATAACGTTACAAAAATGAATAAATATATAACATGAACCGTACTGAATACCTACCGTATCGATCCCCACAAGGAACATGTCTAGAGCTGTCACGGCAGCTACCCTCGCACCGGCTGCGTCGACCAGGTCCTGTAGTAACGACTTGCTGCCATCTGTATTACGAGGCTGCTTCAGCGCCCTCTCCACGTGGTTTAGAGTAACACTGCACATATTATATTACAGTTCACTTTTTACACGTTACATCAACTTCGATCATCTAACAAATGTATACACACAATAAAATTATTAAATTAAAATATTATAAGCCCTAGATATTTCGACGCTGTTAGTAGTTAGTTAGTTTCGTCAAAAAGATAGTTTCGCCGAGATAGATTGAATAAAAGCTGGTCTGAGTAAACAACTGTCTGACAGGTGAGATATTCAGTAAAATTAAATTTCTTTGTACTACATATGTATATAGAGCTGTTGGATATCACAAAAGGTTAGAAGGCAGGTTACCTACTTGAATGTATAATACCGAAATTATTTAATTCTCAAAAGATATCCATTAAACAAGAGATAGCAAATGTTTGGATACTCAATTCAAAATGCGCAATATATTCGGCAACGATATAATAACAATGTATTAAATCATCCATATTACTCAAACAGGATATAACAGAAAGGATATCGTAATCTAGAATCTAACGATTGTAAAGGAAACTATACTTTCCACAACGAAGGATGAAGGTCGAATACTGAATTAAATCCATCTTACTAACAATTAAAAATATATTGATAGTAGCTGTGCCCGCAGTCTCACTAGCACTAATACTTACAAACTTTCGTGTTTATAATATTAATAAGATTTTGTACATTTTATTAAAATTATTAATGTTTAAGAATTAACGCTATTAACGTATCTACTATCGTATGTAACTATGTATCTATCTATTGTAGATATGTATGGCCCACTTGATGGGAAACAATAACCGTCGCCTATATACATGATCAGCCTTACGGACATCACGTTATCATATTCATTAATTCCGAGATACATTCATTCATACGTAACCATTCCAAAGGACTAAAATTCCATGCCTCTTGTCTCCTTTAATCTATACCCCTTAATCGAAACACATCTAACAAAGTACCTAACATAAGCTAAATAGTGGCTAATAGAAGTAACACTAAGACAACGCAGACGACTTCTTATGAAGTTGGGTAAATTAGTATGATTGTTATACCACAGCAATTTACATTTCACACACTCCTGTCACACATTAGATCATCAAATACATGCCTTCACTGAACCGAAAACCGGTTCGAAACCTGTTCACATAACAACAAAATATGTTTCGTGTTACATAACTAGTTTATATTCACCAATATCAAGGCCTCTATTTATCACAATTTATGAATAATGAAAGTTTTTCTTTCTGTTGAGATTTTGTTTCTTTCATAGAATAAGTATTTTAAATACCGAAATGTGCCGAAATGGATTTTGTAAAAAGTCGTCTGATGAGTACCTCTAATTCACTTAATTCAGCCGCGAAGCAGATCCTTTAATTCCTTTGTAAGATGTACTGCTATTGAAATTTGAGATTTACACAGGAAAAAAAAGCATTTAAATTCGAGGATGTAATATGGAGGTATAACATCAAAGTACTCCGAAATGGCAACGCATAAGTATATCACGGATGCCATATATACGTATATTGATTTACTTCATACTGTTCATGTATATAACAACCGTTACGACTTGCCATATGTTGACCATTCCAGGTACATAAATGAAAATTTATCATTTAGTATTAACACTTGAGTATCACTTTTAGTAATTGATGTAAATAACATAACAGGATAGGGACGCTAGTTTCATCCGATTAACTCTCATCAATATTGTATTTGGCATCTGTAATTATTTTAATTGGATAGGTACATCATATTCTAACATTTTGATTCTTACCTGAGGATAGTATCAAGAGCGGCAACGTATCTCTTAAACATTGCGGTGGGGTAAATCCTCCACCAAGGCGTTCTTAGTTCTAATTCACCCACACAGAGGAAGAATGAGTTCACAGCATCAATCAAACGTTGACTCTCTGAACCTTCGCAGGCGTCGAAACAGCCCAGACGTGTATCCAATGCGATGAGACTTAGAGCTGGCAATAAAGATATTAAAGTCACTACAGGCGTTTTTACCAGAGGTAAACTTCCATGGTCATGAAGTATATGAAGTATAGGTACAATAAAATGTAATTACAAAAACAATGTATTTATTTAATTGTATCAGTAGTCTAGTACTCATAACACAAGCTCTGCTTAGGTTGGCACTGTTTGAATAGTCTGGGGTCGTTAGTATTATAAAATAATTGATATTAGAGAAGATATAAAAAACACTTACATTCCAAAGACCATTTATGAACTTCATTCAAAAAGTCATCAGGGGTCTCCTGATTCTCATTTCTAATTTTACGTAACCTGCAAAAGATAATCATGGTTGACAAAATTTAATTTTATTGTTATTTTACATAAAATACTAACTTTAAAAGATTGCAATTACAAATTAAAATAGATTTACTGTTTAGAGCTCGCAATTGATCTGTCCACTGTTTGTCTTTTATTGAGTTGAGTGTCGTAGCTCAGTTTTTTACTAGTATTGTGGTTTTCTTGAGTTTGAATCTGTCCGATGGTAATAAATTTTTAGATGTTAATTTACGTATCTTTCTAAGTCTCCAGTGATAGTAACATCGGTAACAAACAGAACTGAATGCTGAAAGATGTTCTAGGCTCGTCTCATGCTGGGTTGAAATCAAATATAGCCAACAAATTGAAAGCATGTCAAGTATCGGGTTCAGCATCGACAATTGATAGTGCTGAGCATCCTATCTGGGACAATAATTGTGATACCTTTAAAGTTATTAATTGTACTTATTTCATTAAAATATATATGTATATTGATACTTTTAACTTACCTATTGACAAATGAATCAGCTACTTCGGCCACAGGTTCCGTATACTGTGCCGCTGCGCCTGCACTCAATGCAACCCTCGATACTTTGGTTCTAAATGCAGACCATGCATCTCCATGACTGTAAATTTTATTTAATATAATTATTACTATATAAATTATATATCAGTACTTCACTTCGGAATTATATTATTAATAATACATAGCGTTATTATTCTGCACAATAAGGTTATAATGTGGTTAGTATGAAAGTAAATGTTTAAAGCAGTCATGCGACGATAAGTAAAAATATATAGCAATTTAAAAAAAATAACTAAACTAATATAATCTATTTTTTAGAATACATAACACACTGATAGTAACCTGTGACACCTTATTAGGTAATATCATTACTTTTTTTAACGATCATGTTCATATTTGTTTTTTAAAATTTTACATAACATAACGGGTATTTTGTTTCGACTTCATCCTTGATCCGCAGTACGACGAATGCACCCGAAAGAAGATTTCCGAATGAAGTAAAAAAATCACGAAAGACGAAAACATAGCATTTCTTTACATTCTTGTACATAGTTATAAAAATCATAATATTTGATATATACTCATACATAGAATTTGAAAAGGAACAGAATATAGGTTTATTATATAAAAATGTTAGGTAATTAATGAATAAATAAGAAAACAAATAATAAGTAAGTGAATAACTTACACTGCAATAACACCGGCGCAATTATCTTCAGCACCAAAAAAGTCCCGTCGCAATTTATGCTTGTAGTAATTTAACGATGGCATTGAAGGCCTGTAAAGGGACATGAGGAATTTATAATATCGTCAGAGATCATCATCTTAAATAGTTTCTGATACCACTGTGATGTATTACTAGGCAGGTATAATTACAGGTACAAGAAATTTTAAAATTTTACTTCTTTAACAAGATGGTTTCATGAGATAAATTAATAAGTGTATATACACTTATCCTTGCCCCATTTATCTAAAAACATCAAAAAAAAATGTATATAAAACATCCAAAATATATGTTATCATAAATATCTACTTACTATAACAGACAAAACAAAATAGGTGTAAATTATGCTCATACTCAAGGCAAAAGCTCATTAGACAGATTTAACACATTGCGCAGTTTTCTACCAGTCATCATTAGTACAGTGCCATATTTGAGACTTATATGTGTAATTATGCCCGATTACTTATCAACTAGTAATTAAAAATTTTCTTTTTTTTATATAAAATACGGTTGTACCTACCTGTATATAGTTTATATATTTATTCCCATAGTAACATTATAAAGAATTATACATAATATGTTGAAAGCTAACAAACACGCTTGCTTGCTAGATACAAGAACCACAACTCGGTACACCCGTACAAAAGTGAAATTAGAAAAGTTCTATAATTGACTCGACCACAGATCCGAATTTACAAGTGTACCAGAAGTTTTTTATTAGCATCATGTTAATTAAACACATGAATGAAGACTAATCTTGTAGCAGTCATTTTTAAGGGGTTTGGGGTATCTTTCTGTTGTCTTCTCGTCCTACTCCTTCATTAATAAACACACAATCACAATTATCAATTGTAACAGATTAAAATATAAATATTTGCTTTAATGTATTTGACGGCCTCGGTGGTCTAGCGGTTTAGCACTTACTTCCGATGGTCGCGGGTTCAATTCCTTGCAAGTTTCAAATCTTTGTATTAGTATGAGTATGATTGTTTGTATCTGTCTGGTTTTCTATGTATAATATGTATGTATTTACAAAATAATCTTTGTATTCAAATCAGTTGTCTAGTAGTCATAGACATAGAAGCTCTAGGTAGCTTAACTTGGGTCTAGATGGCGCTGTGTGAATTGTCCTGGGATATTATTATTATTTGTTTAATTTATGGACATTTTTTAATGGCTGGTAATGGAATAGAGTATGCGCCTAACGGTAGTAGGTGGGGTTGCGTAACATGAAGTCAAGTGAGTTAGGCCATCCCGGCAAAGTCACCATATGACTTCCAGGGAAGTACGTAAAGGACAACAATTGACTGGAATGAGACCGCTACTCCCCATTACCAACAACCCTTATCCCCTCCAGAGGAACACATTAAACAATTAAAACTTTTGCCTTATCAAATCGCGGCTGAAGTAGTTAATATCATCGTCCAATGAGAAATTAAACACAACAGAAAAACAAATGAAATTAATAAAAAAAAATCTAACTACCCACTCTCCCTACGACACCTATATGAACAATATAAAAAAGCAATACAGTACATTTTGATCTTCAAATGACAATTGTTAGCAACGACGTGATATTATATAATAAGGCCTTGATAGTAAGTGGTAAATTAATAACCATAATCCATACACATGAACAAGACAATGGATGGCATAAAATATTATAAATATGACCATAAATGCGACCTTTAAATATGAGATATTGTCTTTTTATTTAAACAAGCTATTAATATTGATGTATTTCTTCTTCATACCACGCCCACTATGGCCTTATGACGAAAACCGGCTGACACTATAAACGTAATGACAATAAAAAAGCATGGATGAATTCAATGAAAATATTAATGTTTATTAAAATATGTGTATTTGTTTTCTTTTCACATTTACATTGTAGAATGCAACTTTCAGTTGTACTAGTGGCCTGCCCCGACTTTGCGCGGGAGCTCATAACTTTATGACTTGTGTTTATATATGAAAAGATGCAATAGTTGCAGAGTTTAGTTTCCTCATATTAAATCCGCTCTCTTCCTATCTTTGTGATATTAATATACCTATTATATAATTTAAAGCAAAGTATATGCCGAAATTTCTCTAACCATCTTTGCTATCTTTAAATATTAGATTAATATTATATATAATAAAATACAACTAACTTATAACGAGAGTGGAAGAGAAGGTTGAATGCTGTACTTGATTGCTCGTACATTTGTATTAACCTGATATTTATGATATAAATACACTTAGAAAAGAAATTACTCTGTCTACAGATAAATAATAAATAAATAAACCTGGACAATAAACACAGCGCCATCTAATCCCACGGTAAGCCGAGCTTGTGTTATGGGTACAAGACAACTGATATATATATAAATACATTGTTTTTGTAATTAAATTTATTGTATACTTCATGACCATGGAAGTTTACCTCTGGTAAAAACACCTGTAGTAACTTTAATATCTTTATTGCCAGCTCTAAGTCTACGTTAAGCAGAGCTTGTGTTATGGGTACAAGACAACTGATATAAATAGTTAACACTTTTTTTTGTAAATACATGCATAATATAAATAGAAAACACCGAGACCGATACAAACAATCATACTCATGAATATAAATGTTTATATCGTGCGAGGAATCGAACCCGCGACTATCAGAATTGAAGCGGTGTGCTAAACCGCTAGACAACCGAGGGCGGTATATATATTATACAATACTTCTTAAGATTCATTATTATATAAATACCTGTGTGGTGTCGTGTCCTCTCCTCTGAAGACTCTCTCAACCTCCCAAGCATCGAAAACAAACAGCATATCAGGTCTTCCCAACAGCCCGCCGATCTTCACGCAATTCCCATATTGTTCTCGCAGAGATAAACATACTTTGTCTACATGTTCCACTGAATATCCACCTGAAATATTTTCTCTGTTTTATTATTCCGCTAGCTGTACCCGCGATTTCACCTGTGTGAAATTTATAACCTATGTGTTATTCTGATGTATATTACTGTAAATGTTCATGAAAATCTGTTCAGTTTCTGCGTGAAAGAGTAACAAACATCCGTCCATCTATATATCCATCCATACTCACGCGTCTGTTGAGTTTATAAAATTAGTAAGACTAGCTAAATTCTCGAGGGCAAGACTTCGGTGCTACCAGCTTAATGTGGTAATCTCAGATATTATCTATCTCTGTACCAATTTTTCTTCAAATTCATTCAGTAGTTTTTACGTGATAAAGTATTAAACATGGGTAGATCACAATGAATGGAAATGGATGGATTTGTAATAATAGAATTTAAGTAAATGTTATATTTAGCGAAGTATAACAGGAAAATTAATGTTCTTATACACCCTTGGGAAGTAGCGCACGTAGTATAAAAAATCGTCAGAAACACATTGTTTTTTTCATAAATATGCCTTTTTTATAAAGTCATTCCTTTCCCTCACAGGTAGCACTTTGAAAAAGGACGAACACGATAGATCTATGCAAGTCGTAGTGTGACATGTCTTGGCACCTAACAATAACCCAAAACCCCTATAAAAAAAGTCATTCCTTCAAATCTATATTTTTCCATCTCCAAAACGAGGAATCGAAACATAATGAAGCTTGATACGATCATCATTAACTGGTTATTTTTACAGTATTTAATTACCATTTAACGGAGTAATTAATATTACGCAATCACCGGGAAGTTGGTATGAAACACTAGACATTTCCTAAGTGAGAGTTAGCTATAGCAACATAGTTGTCACTATTGTGACCATGTTCACTGCATTTTTACCATATCATTTACCATATCATTATCACTTGCACACACTAGATCAAGTGACAATATCAAATTAGTAGTTGTATATTCTTCTCACCTATCTTTAAATTCTTTTTATCATACAATAAGTAGTTATGTTCATATTTTAATAATGATTCTACGAAGGTATAAATATTTGTGTAATAAATTTTTTGTCAGCAATAACCCATTCCTAATGTAAGAGTCATCATGGTGGAAAGTGGTAAAACTTTTCAGATGTTATTGAAACTTTACAATAATATACGTATACAATAACACATATTCCATGGGGGTAAAACCGCGGACACAGCTAGTATTTGACAATTTTAATAGTGAGACAAACCCTCGCAAACATTTATTAATCGTATTTATATGAAATTATGCGTATAAATAAAGTTTAGTTTTATTTAAATTTAATATTATATTCCATATGTCTTTTCCCATTACTGCCATTCAACCGCATTGTGTTTTTGCCCAATGGTTAGCTGGTAGAGAATGCCTTATGGCATTAAACTCGCCAATTGTACGTATATTTTAGATAGTGCAATAAAGGATAAATAAATAAAAATGATTTTATTTCGTCCCTGTGCATAAAATAAACACTGTCACCCTATTCACGTGCTGCCAATCGTTTCAACATTGTATAAAAAAGGAAGTGCATTGCATGCACTGCACGATACGAACTCAGTGCACGTTCTGAACTAGGCCATTTAACCACGTGTTTGCATGATACTAATATTTGACGGCATCTGTAGTTTCAGCGCACCGCCTTTCTATCGGTGGTCTACAAATTGTGTTTGTATCGTGCGAGGAAGCGAACCTGCGCTTCCTCGCATGACACAAACATTTGTATTTATCGCTATGACTGTTTTTATTTGTCTGGTTTTTTTTTATATCTGGTATGTATATATTTACAAAAAATATCTATATTATTAAAATCGAGTACTACAAGTAGAAGCTGTGCTATGTTTAAGACAAGATGAAGCTATATAAATTGACCTGTATGATTAATAATACTAACTATGTATTTAATTTAAATATTATTTATTTATGATGTCAATACACAAAATTGAAAAACACTACCATAGAAAAAAAAATTACTCGCTATTTTCTGTGATTATTGATTATGAAGGAGAAAATTTGTTTCTTTGTTTCTAAGGCTTTCACGCTTAACTTTAATTATGTGATTTTTTGACTAGTTAAATACACAGATTATCTTATCCCGCTCAATCACTGTCTCGAGATTGAAGTCGTGTGAAAGAACTTGTATATAAATTTGTCCTATAATTCTATAGTTCCTGTGTAGGTTATATATGTCTTAAGATTTTCAAAAACATCTTTAGGAGACCTTCAGTGTAGACCTTATTAAGAAATGTTATCTATTATACAATACCGTCTAATCGGCCTTAGATTTGGCATTTTGCAAATTGTATAATAAAATCTACATAGATATCCGGGTTCGTGATTTTTCAAAAATTAACCAATTACAATGTAGAAATGAAAATTTTAATTGACTGTTTTATATTAATTTATTTATTCTGATGTAATAAAATTATTTATTTAAATCAGAATTTATTTTATATTTTAGATATATTATACAAGCATGCAAATAATTACTAATAAGTAAGTAATCGAATATATTTTAATGTAATCCAAGATTTCAATAGTTTAAGAATATGTTTCTCATAAAAAAGTTAATTATTCATTTGTAAATGAAAATATTATAAAATGTATATAAAAATCATTATACAAGTAAATATTGTCAATATAGAAATAGAATCATTAGAATTTATTTATTTATTTATTTATTTATTTGAGCTACCAACAAGACATACACTATGAGGTTACAATTATTATAACTTGCGAAGAGTTCAGGTATATAGTGTTGACTTAATTACTGGTTGCCACGGCACGCGATATTGGTTACAGAAGTTTATATATATATATATGTATACAATTATTATTATTTTTTTTATTTTTTTAGAATCAATTTAACGTTGCCAGAATCACATAATAATTACACACACATAAAATACATTCCAATTGATAACCCGCTCTGTATATTTTTGCAATATTTTCAAAACTGACTGACTTGAACTAAGATCCGATCTTGGAATACATGGACTGTGATCAAGTGTTGCACCCACTGACCACAAGCCTTAAAGCCCATTCGTAATACCTAATGTACACATACGTAATTCATTAATTCAATAGCTACTTCAGTAATAAGTATCTTTTAAATAAACAGTCAAACTTCTCGAATGTAAGGACAGATATAGTGTAAAAAGGTTTTATAAATCTTAATAAAAAATGTTACATGACCAAGGTTCATCATCATTATCTACTCAAAACAGAAGGTGCAGTAATTTCAAAATGAAACCTTGTTCTACTTAGAAATACAAAAGTTTTGTAATAACAAAAAAATTACATCAGAACGTCATTGTACTACAAATTGCAGTATGAAATTATTTAAAGCTATTTTGTGTTTTGTATTGTAGAATACATTATTATGTCAGATTAATAAGCGTGAAGAAATAACCTAAACAGCACTAATACTTTATTATATTCATATTTTCAATTTTACGAACTCTTTTTTGTCTTCAAACAGCTAGCTTTGTAAGATGTTTTAGTTGTAGGATTAGATTAGATTAGGCAGTGAAATTACAGCATAAGAGGCATGAGATCTTAATCTTCCGGAATAGCAACGCATGAATGATATCACTAACATCATATGATAACGTGATATCCGTTCGTGTATATATGCAACTGTTACCACTTAAAATCAGATGGGCCAGTCGCCAGTTTGATTGCCATTCCAATTACATCAATAAAGCGCCAAACAGGTTCCGAAATGACAATTAATAGAATTCAAAATTGTGAATATGACGACAACGGTTTTAGACATCAAATTTAAAAGGCAATATTATTATTAAAGTAATATTAACAACAAAAATAAAAAAGTAGATACACAAATCATGTTGGTCAGTCAACAAAATACAATATACAGATAAAATACAATACAGGTACAAAAACAATTTTGCTTTTCTGCTTCTTTCGAATCAATGGTAAAACCTAAATATGTTTCGACCAGAACTTGGCAACAACAATAGCATAATCGGTGGCCTTGTTCAGGTCTTGCTTAGTGCAACGCTGGACAGAAAGGGATAAAGCACAAATCTCCCACGAGAATGGATTTGTTTTGTGAGAATCCCCCAATGTTAATTGAAATCACATGCATGGTAGGGTTAGCGATTTGGGTTACTATTGTGGTGAAAATATTGGCCAACTTAAACACTATGTTACCGTGTCTAGCTATGTCCATGTGCACCACGAGGAGGCTCTTATCATGCACCCAATGATTTTGCTGTAATATTAATATAATAGATGCCATCCTTATTTCGTCAACGTATTTGGTCACTAATGACAAAGTTATACATAGTGTCAGAGTGACATACGAGTATATTTACTAATATTATTCTGAAGTTATTGTTTACAATATTACACTTGTAACTTGAACATAGATCTTATCAAATCTTAGACTTTTAGATGTTTAAATTCATCTAAATAAAATCAAAAAATCTTTTTTCAGCTATGATGTCGGCGTATACCACAGTTTAAGTATAACTTAACGTGTGACAGATAGACATAATAAGAAATGACGCAATTTTGCCGCACCGTTGAATTACACTTACGTAATCCGTATGATGGTAGCCATGAAACTTACCATTGTATGTATTGTTTAATTTTACCACAGTTTTACCTAAATAGGTCACGTTTGATTTCATATTATCTGAATTTTATGTTTCTTCTTTCAGAACAACCATAACAAGCTATCAGTCGCCATAAAGCAGCGTTATTTTTAAAATATATAAAATATGTTTATTTGGTATGGGCCAGATTTGAGCTTATGATCTCTCTTTATAAAGTCGTTCAAAGTAGTGAACCACTAGTTCAAGACGATCTCCTATATACTTAAGTATTATGGACTAACTGGTACCTGCAACTTTGTATGCGCAGGATTAGTATATCTTCGTAGTAGTAGTAGCTTATTTCTCCAAGGTCTATCTATCTTTATACCAAAATTATTAGAATTGGCTGTACTGTTCAGTCGTGAATGCGTAACAGACGCACGTCAAAATAGCTCGAGCAGATGGCAGAATTTTGTGCAATGCTTACTTGACCTATCTTCATGTTTTGAACAATTCACACAATATCTTTATAAATTATATAGCCTATGTATTATTGTTATGTATAAGGTTTATTATAAAGTTTCATTCAAATGTATGGACTAGATTTTCCGTGAAAGAATAACAAACATCCATACATCAAACTGTCGTGTTTATAGTATTAGTAAGAATTAATTAATTAGCCACTTACCAATATAGGGTATAAAACGCCAGGTATTCCCCAGTAACGGCAGTGGCTTTGGCCCCGGAACCTCCTCCCATGACTTCACAGAAGGCGCCACATTCTCGAATACGGCCGTGTCCAGAGCGGCATGCGTGGACCGTGCACGGTGGCCATGAATCGGACAAGATCCCAATGGCAATTTGTTTGAACCTGATAATTTATTTAAAATTATTTTCCTTCAATACCTACAGAATAGAATGGAATAAAAATAATCACTATTAAAATTTTAATATAGACACTTTTAAAGAGTATATTGTATTTATTATAACGAGTTATGTTTAAAAACCGGGAAAATAAAGGAAAGAATATAGTGATACTGCGACACATTTAATATTATAAATTGTTTATATTGTCGTAGTTGTTATCACTCGTAAAAGCAATACAAATTGTTGACTACGCTTATGATGTCCCATAAGATCATAACCAGTATCATCTTGATGATACAGATAAAGTATATTGTGATAGGTATATCATAAAGCTTTATAATATTTAAAAAAATCTATGGTCTCAAATAATTAATTCAATTAGTAACGGCACTATATATTAGAAAAGCATAATGTAATATTTTTATGGTATAAATAAAGACCCGATAAACATAACAGTTATTAATTGTTTAACCAGTTTTTGTATATTGAATATTTTTTCTATTTTATTATTTCATTGAATTAGTGCTAATCGGTGGTTTGTATTCACACACTTAAACTTAAATTGTAAGTAAGAATAAATTATTTAAAAGAGCAACACACAAGTTTCTTGCTTGTTCTTCTTGTGATGAGACAGCATTCCGAACGAGCGGTAGATTAAAAAAAAGATGTTATGACTATTCAAAAGTGCTTCAATGTAAGTTTATTTGAATAAATGATTTTCTATTCTATTCTAGTTATGAACACAATAATAATATTTAGTGAAGGTACATATAATAAAATTTGTATCCACAAATTGATTATATTGACTGAATGCACGAAATTTAGAGGCACGCAAAATGTTTGTCTGGTACCAATCTATCAGGTTCCTAGTTTAGATACCTACCAATATCGATGCCTGGTTCAGCAGCCTGACGACACTGAACTGTTGTTGACAAATGGCGGGCAGGTAGATACTGTAGCGGCCATTTTACTACACTGATCCCGCCCCGCATAATTTTATTACTATCCGATGTTTCTGCGAAAAAAGATAGAACGTAACTCGATGTGTCACAATTTTATATAAAAATCCACAATGTTTGTTGTCGAACTCATTCGAAACGAATTTATATAGCAAAAAGTCGGCTAATATCCTTAAAATACCCTTCAAAATTGTTTTTATGAATATTATAGGTACTCACGTTTTATTAAGATATTTTAATAATCACTACAATTACAAATTAGAGGTAAACTTAGCTCTGTGCTTAACAAAGATTTGCAGATTCTGACAAATTGAACAGGAAACACCTATGTGGCTGTAGTCATACCACTCATGCATAAATCAAATCTAATTATCTCCTTTGGAAAGTACACATCCTAAGGAGATAAATAACTTCGCTCGTAAAAGTATCCTTCTATACTTGTTCGTAACGAGCCTGACCAATGGATCTCCGTAGGTCGTGGTTACAGGTCTAAACTACCTTACTAGAGCCCTAACCCCCTCAATAGAAAAATACAAACTAGACATATATAATAATAAAATATTAAACAATCAAGAACATCCGTATATTCGTATTTGTATTTGTATTATAGTTGCCACCTAAGTGAGAAATACAATGTTAGCTGCTAATTTATCAACATTGACAAAAGAACTATAAAAATGTTTACGTCATTCTTTTCCTTGAAATACATTTGTATGGTATCAGAATTAAATTAATTAGATTCAGTATTTTTTTTATTGTAAGTTGCACTGATGTTAGCCACTAGCATTAGCACAGATAAGATAATATTACTATTGAGATAATATTATATAACTAACTATTAGAGATAGGCCTTCCTTTGCCCATATTGTCTATAAATAGAATTATTACTTTAAGCAACAAAAAATATAGAATAAAAATAAATCAAATGTTATGCAAATTTTTTAAGTACTTGTTATGTTTTCATAAAAATATTTGAGACGTAGTGGGTAGACCTGACGGTAGATGCGAAATAATTTCTTACAATCACGAGCGCATGGTAAAGAATCGTCACACTGAAGGTATTTTTTCGGTGGGTAATAAAGAACATGCACCTGCATAACGGTAAATGATGGTGGCGAACCATTGGAGGATGAATGTGAAGTCAGTACAATTAGCCCATCATGGCGAAATTACTAAGAATTTTCTACGATGGTTTTCAAGAGGAACCGCGTGAAGATTGACCTAACAATAAGCTTCTAGCTTCCATTACTTACTAATTCCTTCCCACCCTTGCTATACAATATATTAGATGTATCAAGCTATTATATAGCGTGGTTACGCATGCCGTTGCAAGGCATCACCACGCCACCGAACGGTCTACCCAGTTGCATTAGACGTTCCAAATCTAATACTACAGTTATAACAGTCCTTCGAATATTTTCTATGTAAATAATTTTTATGTAGAAAACCCCAAATATTTCTTGTAGAACCGGTATAAGTCGAAATCAAGATAATCAATATTATAATAAATGTCAAATATTCAAATAACCCCTACCAAACCCTAATGAGATTCTAGTAGGTTAATTATTAAATTTTCGACGTTATGTCATTAAAACTATATTCTCTGATGCGACATTTAAAAAAGCTTACTGTTTCTATACAGAGATAATTGCAAGGGGTATATTTGATAATTATAAATCTTAAAACTAGGTGAAATATTATATATTATTAAATATTACAAAAAAAATTACACTCACTGCAAAGCATGCTGATAACTATATATATCTACTTTTTTTTGGTAATATTAATAATTGAAAATTCTGATGTTTGTCAGATTAGCGACAATCAGTCAGATCAGTGATCAAGTGACAGATTCTCTCTGAGGGTGATCCTGCTGGTCATTTTAGTGGTATGGCATTCTCTGTTTAGCACGTTCTTATAGAGATTTTTATTACTTTTTAAAAGAAAAATAGTGTACTTATTATTTATTATCTTTTGTATTTTATTTTAGTAACGGTTACTATTGAATGCACCAATGAACTAATGATATCATCTGCAATATTTTTCAATCTACTAGTTAGTGTTAACCTCCATCAAAGAAGAGAGAAATTGAAATACAAGTCACCATAGCGTGACACGAAGAAGTCATTATTAGGTAATGCCCGCAATTTTGTACAACCACATAGTGAAATGTCATAACATGTTCATTTATGTCCATCTAAAAAATATAGCGACGTAATGATGATACGATAATAAGAGTACTTACAGTAGTTATAATTTACATAATGTGATAGTTATAGTTTATGAAAGTGATTACTTTTCTCTTAAAATAAGTATTACTTTATTACTCTGAATAGTAAACCCGCGCACCTTCATCTGCATCGCACTTACCTGACATTTATCATATTATTTCGCCTAATTTACATCATATAATTTTTAAAATTGTAGCCTATGTGTTACTGATGATGTATAAGTTATATTACTATAAAGTATCATCGAAATTCGTTCAGTAGCTTCTGTGAGAGTCACAAACATCCATAAATTTATCCATCCATACATACTCACAAACTTTCGCGTTTATAATATTAGTAAGAAATATCGTGTGCAGAGATTGAAACAATGTAGCCAATCAACAAGTAGTTATTATGATATTTATACCTGCCTATTCCCAGTCCCAGTTTCAGCCCTGTGATTATAACTTTGTTAGTCTAGTATATATCAAGGTTTCTTAAGGGTCAACAATGCACACGTGACAACTCTAGTGTTTCAGGCTTCTATGGACTCTACGGTAACCATTTATCATCAGCTGGACCGTATGTTTATATTTAAACATAACTCATCTAACAGGTGACAAGTTAACTAGTCATTGCACTTGTATTATCTATTCAATAGTCAAATAGTTTATTTAGTACGTTTTACTTCCATATACAATTACAAAATAATACCCAATGACAGGACATAGTCATCTTTTCAAATCACTGCAAACGTTCCAGAATTAACTTTCTCGATAACCAAACAAAATCCAACCAAAAAAATATAAATAATTAGGTCAGTAAGATATTGACAATATTTTTCTATTATTTTATATTCAAATACAGTTAAAATTATACGCTGGAATATTTTAAACTTACTGTATGAACAAATATACACTACAATATGTATATTGTTAAGTATACCTAATTAACAATATATATATATGCGTCATAAGACAACTAGGTAAGCGCTTAGGTTTCTCTTAAATAAAAAACTATTTTAAGAACTCATATCTTAATTATGCACCTAAAACTGTTTCACAAACATAAGCTAAGTATAGAAAATACGCAGAATATATATCATACTATAACAACCCTAATTAGATACCTTATTTTAGAAACACAATTAATTATGAATTATTTCATAATTATAGTAGATAATTATCTTAATTTATATGTTAATATGTTAATATGTTTAAAACAAAATGGAGTCACTACTCGAAATTACAGTCATTTATGTTATTAATTTTGACATTTATTTCAACTACAACACATATTACATATCTTCTAAAACTACAGAAGAAGTATTAATTAATATCTTTTTTAAGGTAAAATATGAGTGTAATCAATGAAATTCACTGAATTTACTAGTGAAATCAATGAAATTCACTGATTTCACTAGTAAAATCAATGAAGTTCACTGTTATAAACAGATGTTCTGACATCGGCAATAGATGCCCATACTATGACGTGTCATTACATAACCTATCAATGCCAATGCCAATAACGAAGTTATGAAGTTATAAAAGAACATACATACAGAACATATAATACAAAACACGATAACAAGATGTCAATTACAAATATTAAGTCTACTAAGAAATTATTGTATTTTTTACAAAATGTAGCGCATATATATAAAATTTTTTTTACGCGTAATATGCTTCATATAAGCAATATTTCAGACTTCAATATGAAATATTGCTTATATAAAGTATATTAGAAGTAATGTACATAGATGTTCTTTTCCAGTATTTTTTTGATGTCGTGGATATTATCCCGAGGTAGAAGTAAGTCATTTTTTAATTATATCCCTAAAGAATCTCTTTAGGGATATACTTATTTAGGAGAAAATATTTTCAAAATGTGAAACTTAATCAATGCTACAAAAAGGACATAGATGGAGAACAGAGAGGTCAATATGAATATATTATTAATTAAATTATCTAATTTACATTTTTTCATTGGTTTGCATTTTCCAGTTATAACCGGTTTCATTTTTATATTATGCCATCCGGTTTTTTAATACAGTCGCATGCTATAATGTGATGAATAATTATCTAGGTACACTATGGTTAGCATACACATTAACTTACTTAAGTGTTCGTTAAAATTGGAAATAAGTTCGTTTAACGCACTGAAAGTTTGTTTCATTGAAACTGAATAATATGAAATTAAAACGATTTATTGTTAAAAATATTCAATGTTTAAAATATTCTCGAGTAGCTAAGCATTGGTTCTATCGGCTTGGAATAGATAAATACCTAATCAGGGAGTAACGTAGTGTATGTTACTCCCTGATTATTTATCTATAGTCGAACAATTTTAGTTTTTTTTTTTGATAGTATATCAGTTAGAAACATAAATATACAATTTTTCATAACATTTTTTTTAATTAGCCGTTATTCTCGTTATTGTACAAATACGTATCTATGTATAATATACATATATACACATTTTAATGACATTGATTCCGCGCCTCCTTGGTGACCTCAGAAACATGTTTCTTTCGACAACTATGTCTGGCGATGTTCATTGACGCATAATTGATTTTTAATTTTTGATGATTCCTAATTTTTAACAACGAACTTCATTTCATTGTATGAATTTGTATGTAGCATATTTTTACTTTATATATTACCACACAGCTTTACCGTACCTTTAATTTTAAATTTTCAATGATAAAGTTTGCAACAACTATATATGTAGTGTTCCTAACACTACATATGGAAGATACATTACGGAAATAAAGTGGAGAGTTAAACGTCATCGTTAATTAACTTTTATATGATGCTATAGTAATCAAGATTGAAATATCCGCCTTATTTTCCGATGGTCGCGGGTTCGATCCCTCGTACAATATAAATATTTGTCTTCATGAGTATGATTATTTATTTTTTTATACTACGGTAGTGGTATATATCTATTATGCATGTAATAAAAAACAATAAGTATTTAATCCGCTATTTAGTACCTACAATACAAGCTCTCCTTAGCTTGGTACTATATGGCGTTGTATTGTGTGTCATTGTGAAACCCACACATTTCATTAAACTTATTCAAGTCCAAATATTTACATACAATTTAATGTTCTATACTGAAAGATGTTTGTGTTCCATTGCAAGTCATGTTGTCTATTTTGTCACATAGATAGTGAGGAAGAGAGTTTTAGAGCCACATAGTCCATACGATAAGCGATTTTAACATAACTATGAATATTAAAAAAACTCCAGCACAGATCATGAAATGAGTTGTATGACTACTATAAAATGCAGAAAAATATCCTTAAATCCAGGTTAAACTGTTGTCTTACTAAGTAATTCATAAGCCACAACATATCGGTCCTGACACGATAACAACACTATCCAGAATATCTTTACCATTTATCAATAACCCATAATTTTGTCTGTCTTTGTTTATGCAAACATAGTATGTCTGTTGACATAGTCAACGGACATACTATGTACAATGGAAATTCGAAAAGTGTGATAGACATCACACAAATGTTAAATTAACAAATACAAAAACTTGTAAAATTACAGTAAACTTGAAACTAATTTCAGGTACCAAAAAATAAAATTATGAATTTTAAATTGGTCAATTGGGCAAATAGAATCAAATGCGGAAAATACGAAGTACAATCACACACTATAACGCTTACATTATACTCGAGCATATTTCAAGTACCAAACAATAATATTATGAATTTTAATCTGATATCTATATGATAACTAGCTATCCTAGATTATGCCTAGCACATTCATATGCTACTATATTTTTTTTATTTTACATTGACCGCAAAATCAAATCCGGGAAATAGAAACTAAAATTATACAGAAAACGCTACGAAGGTACATCACTTTTCAAAAATAAATTAATGTTATGGTTACTTAACAAAAATTATTATAGTATAGACTATGTTTTATGAATTTACATATTTGTTCCGTCACGTTGTATTTTTGTACGTATTATGAATAAAATAACTATGACTATAAAAAAAATATTTTTCTGAACGTAATGATCGTTATGTAGAAGAATTACAATTAAAGATTGTCGTACATTATACAAAATACATTAATATAATTCATTATAATATAATATAATATTCATTATATTTCGTTAATAATATTGTATATGTATATTAATAATAAATTTATATTGATAATAGTCTGATTATATACCATTTTTAATTATGCAAATAATAATTATAAAAAAAACTTAATAAGTCATGTACGAGATCAGCGAAATTAAATAAAAAATATTATACCTTTTAAGTCACTAACTGCAATCACAGATCACAGTATACCAAATTTTGCACAAATATTTTGCACAGTCACAGTGTCAGACAATTTCGGTGTTTACTACTAGCGCGGAACAGACAAACTGAACGCCGCCTTTGAACGTATAGAATAAGCCTTACTAGTGACTTTCTGCGGACGCGTTTCCAATGACTCTCAAAACGAGAACATTTATTTGCATACGGGAATTAATTAATTTAATAATATAGGTACCATACATACCATAATAAAGTAATTATTATAATATCAGGAACAAGTTATACCAATACAAAAACAATGTAAATATTAACTGACTAACATCCATGAAATTAATCTAATAGATAAAAAAAGAATAAGTTTATTATTCGAGATTTGCTCGCAAACAGACAATAATTTTAATTATTATTGAATTTTTACTGTTTGAATACATAATTTGTTTATTAAATTAACAGTCTTTCCTACTATTTGTTTACTTTTTTTATGTAACTGCAATTACAGATAAACTATGACCAACCTTATAGAAAATGGCAACCGCCATTGCCGTCGTCGTGTGGAGCTCGTGATATCTTACGGTTGCCACTGCTCTGGAGAACTCATCTCTGTATCCAGTAATTTCACGGCCATATCTTTCACCGTTCTAAGCGAGATACTGCCTACAAAGCAAGCTGATTAACGCATAAAATAGATGACATTGAGATTCCCATGCAGACGACTTTGTTTAGTTCCTTCGGTAAATAATCCAAATATTTAGTTACTACTCTGTGGTAAGTTTTGGCGACAGACCTCTGTTTGTAATATTTACTTATAGACACATGTTATTTATATACAATTTTATGTTTTTGTTTTACCAGTAAGTTTGTGATAAATACACGCTATACAGGAAAGATTGGTAAGTTATTTTAAGCATTTAATAGATTCTGCCATTGCCAGCTATATTAGCAAGCATTTTTTATTCTACTTAAAAATTTTAATAAAAGCAATACGTTAATTTAACAATGGAAACATGAACAGTCCCTAGGAAGCGCAACGTTCTGTTACAACCATTGTAGATAATCAGATGAACGAGATCGAAAGTGCTTCGTACTTAATGATTAACGGTCCCGACAATCTGTAAAAGTGAAACTGTCTAACATGAACATGTCCATATTTAATATGATTACATACTTGGCTATTATTATTAAGTGCATCTTGGCAATTAAATAAATAATATCAATAAAAATTTTTAACAATTTACACAGCGCCATCTAGTCACAAGTTAAGCAGTGTTATGGGTACTAAACAACTGATATAAATACATAGGTATTTTTTTTTATAAACACATATGTATGCATAGAAAGTAAGCCCGTTGCAAACAATCATATTCATGCATACAAATATTTGTACCGTGCGAGGAATCGAACCCGCGACCAACGGAGGTAAGGCTGCTGCTGGGACTAAAACACCGAGGCCGTTAAATGGAAGAACATATTTATTTTTATCAGAAAAAAAAGTATATTTTTATGTGTAGCAGTTCAAATCTTTAATACCATACATATATGTATATATTACGCCGATCCCAAATAAATGTGATAAGGAAGAAGCAGATGATGATGATGTACCTATAATAATTTAAGTAGTCTATTTATTTAACGTTTTATTTCATTTAAATAATTAAAGACCTACAAAATTATGAATAAATAAATTGATTATAAATTATCTTTATAGCAATATGGTATATATTACTATAAAAATAATTATAAATGCGAAAGTGTGTCTGTCTGTTTGTTTTTTATAATTAATGACTGAACGGATCTTAAATGTTACGTAGAGATAGATTGTATCCCGAAGTGTATCCTCGTCTATAGATATACATATATCAAAAAGGCAAACAAAGTCGCTGCTAACTGTTAATGTAGAAAGAATCGCTTTATTACATATTTCACAATGACTGGTAGTCAAACGGCTTCCTAAGTTAAAATGCACGCGGTCAAAAGCTCCGTGCCTAATTGTGACTTGGTTGTAGCGAGTGAAACTGTATAATACTAGCTATAAATACTGGCTTTACTTGAACGTGGGAAATGGCGGTCGTATTACTCGTCCGATTTCGTTTTAGTTGATTCCAATCTTTTTTTTCAATTGCCTTCTTGAAATATTGGTCTATCTAATATTAATGTGTACCAAGGTAGACTGTAAAAAGCCGTCTGGTTGGGTATCTTAATCTCACCTATTACATTTTACAAGCAGCTTGCTTAGAAAGCTCTATTTCAATTCGAAGAGTGTGATAATATTAATTTACTGATATAGGCTATAACAGAATATCAGAGAGGGTGGACTCACTGCTCCAAGATGATGATGATTATGATTAGAAAGCAGTGAAATTACAGGATATGGTGGCAATTCTTCCGGAATAGCAATGCATGCGGGATGCGGGATCCACCGGCGTCAAATAATAACGCGAAGTCCTTAGTAACACAGCTAAGAGAGGTCTATTACTTACCTTCTTGTGGGCTTATTCTCTTCTTACCACAGAAAAAGAAGTTGTTAAATCCAAGTTAGTTTTTAAGATTAGCACATGCAAACAAACAAACTCTTTAGCTTTATATATTAAAATTGTGTGTAGATTTAATACAGAAGTCAAGTGTGCCTACTGGCCTTTGTAGAGAAGCGAATATAATTAGATGCGTAACAATCCACTGTTTGTTTGTTCGTGACATGTCTTTGTATCATGTCGCTCTCGTACAACACAGTTATCTAATACATATTTATGATATTTGTACCCATTCAAACTCAGGTCACCATTTTTCGGTCGAGGAGAAAGGTTGAAGAATATTAAAAAAATCATATAAGAATATATTAATACTATGCTGATAACAAAGTTAAAAAAAACTAGCAATTTAGAATAATCAATATATTAATATTTGAGGCAAAAATTTTATACCGCTTTTTACGAAAATTGTAGAAGGAGTATAAAATTACGTACATTTATAGTAACTATAGAGAAAGAGAGCAAAATTCTAATATCTAAGAATAAGCACAAAAAATAAATTCAATCAATAAAAAAACATGTAATGTTTTTTTATTAACTACCATGTACTTGATACACACATTCAAGTATATTTTTATGTCTATTGTTAGTCTGTGGTCGAATGAGAATAGATTAATATTGTTTGTCTTTAATTAAAAATAATAATGAATTAGTTCTAGTAAACCTATGGTCAAGTAATATTAAACATTATTTATCTATAGTTTTACTGAATTTTAAATTACTTATAGTCGAATTTCGACACTAGTACTTTATGTTTCTTTCAGTAAATATAATACTCATGCAAATGGTAAAATGAGCTAATATTTTTTTTGTCGTATAAGCGTGAGATCTCGGATTACTAAGCCAATAAATAAATAAGTATTACTTTCATTATATAATTTTATACCTGTCTACTTTCATCGCGTTGGAGTTGATCACGATTTTGAACTTGCAGGCTAGCTACATTTAGTATAGCGTAGTAGTTTTTGCAACTGCATCACGTTATAACTATTCAGTTGCATTGAATAGTGAAATAGTGATTGCATTGACTCTAGTTAATGATTTAACAATTATTGCATCGTGTGCATACGGTACTGGCAATCTATCAACTAAAAATTGCTGCAACATATTAATTATGGAAGCGAGGAATTGCTATCGAAAATAAATTTGCGATTACTAACACTAAATGTTGCGTGTCTGCTTAAAATCAAAATTAATGCAAGATTTTGAGTTTTCGAAGACATGCCACTAAAATGTCCAGAAATGTGGCGGCATGGTGGCATAGTGCTATACTAATATGCAAAAGTGATGTTCGCATAATACTATTATATTTAGCGGTGAATAGGAATACTGTGGATATACTATAGTATCAGAGTTACAAAGAAATTTATTTATTGCTCGTGGTCGTGCTAGTGATACATTGAAAAAATAACTACCAACATTGGAGTAGTAAGCCCTTTCTCATTTTCTTTTTTAACACCGACACTTTCTTTTTAAATCGATTCGCCCACGAAATTTTCTGTTAACAATGAGATCGTTATTTATTTAATCTAGTCGTTTTTTTTATAATGGTCATTAAATACTTGATTAATTTTGTGATTATGTAAAATTTTAACATAAAAATGTTTCACAGAATAAAAACGACATTTATTTATGAAAACAAAGAATATTATGCAATGTGATTTTAGTTACATAACCTGATATTTAAAAGTTTAGCATTAACTAGCTGGTACGTGGAAATAAATAAAGTAAATACATTTTCTAAAATTATTTATTATGTTACCCATTATAATATTAGTTATCTGTAATTCAAAGTCGGTCCAGCCGTTTTAGAGATTAGCAAGAAAACAGACAGTCAAAAATTGTTTAAACTATTTTTAAGTATAAACTTTCATAGGCATAGTTTGCTTGTTATTTAAAATTACAAACAGACACTTCAATTTATTTGTATAGATTAGGGAAATTAGGGACTTTATTATTACTTTACTATGGGGAACGAAAATTACCAAACGCCGTCTGGAAAGGTACCTCCGTATCATCTATTCCAGCCAAGCAGCTTTCTTTGCAATCAGCGTTCCGGTTTGAAAAGTGCAGATAAGGCAGTGAAACTAGATACTACATGTGGTAGCTCGTCACCTTAGTCCTACCTACCTTCAAAGATGAAGTCCTACCCCTATTAAATACTAATTTTAATACAATTAATGAATAACTACTATAAAACATGAATCATTTCAATAACACTTAGTACAAAATAATCTCTCACAAATTCTGCAGATACTTCTACTATTATTAATCGAGTATTAATTAATTTAAAAAAGTACAACATTCTTTGTTCAAAAACCAACAAACCCTTTTATTTAGAGGATTTGTCTCGTAACAAAGGCTTTTTACTAAGATCTAGAGATTAAAGGTTTCCTAATCGATTAGTGTAACAGATTATATTTAATATTGGTTATCTGTAATATATCTATTGTTATATGTATAATTATGTCATTAGTTAAATCTGTTAGAGGCTGCACTGTATTAAAGACAATGGCTGGCTACACTCCATTTAATAAATTTGTACGATAGTTTGATCTATTATTAAAATGTAATTTAACTGCATACTGATTATTTTATTAAATATAATTAATTAATTATAACCTACAAATAAAACATTAAGGCAGAAAATTAAACAAATCTTACTATCAATAGTATCTACATAATACTAATACTTACCTTTTTAGCCCTTACCTTATAACTTTAGTTAGAAAATATTTTGTTTACATCACACTTTCTATTTCTACTACAAACCGTCAATTTACATTATTATCGGAATGATCTAGAAAGTGTCAATTGTGAAGTTCAATGTTACGACTCTGCACAATGTAATGTTTACACTAACGAAGTGTGAATCATTTGAAAAAATGTCTATGTTTGTGTAATAATTATTAGTTATTTGTGCAGTATCTATTGCATTTGATGTTATTAGAACAATGGACTGTGAATAACGAGATGACTGCGAACAGAGATTTAAGTGGCATTACGCCGGCACCAAATGCTATCTGACAAAGTCATAAATTTATAAATCTTAGGAGTGTATAATAAAATAAATGAAATTTCTTGGAAAAAATAGAATCGGAAACTGTAGAGTATAACTAAGGCGACCTCGATGATCTAGCAGTTTAGCACACCCCTTTACCTACAATGGTCGATTGAATGGTTAGATTCCTCACACGGTACAAACATTTGTATTGGCATATTCTAAGTATAATATGTATGTATTTACAAAAAAATATCAGTCTTTATATCAGTTATGTTAAATGTCCTAACACAAG